CCATGGAACTAACTGTGACATACTTCTGAGCAGACATCTGCAAGTAACTGAATGGCAGACATGTTTAAATGAATGGAATGTGTGGTGTGGGAACAGGTTAAGAAAAAAACTGCAGTTCAAAACCCTCCTCTCAATATAAACAAAGTCCAACTGTCTTGGAAAGATTGGTCTTGCCTGCTCCTAGTCCTCCTCTCTGACAGCCAGCTCTGCCCATCTTTCTTAAAACTTATTATTGCAATGGGAAAAGGGCGATCCGCCAGCAGCGGAAGCAAGCCCTATAGCAAGAGAGTTTTGTGCTTGATGTGAACAGAGACTATTCTTAATTCCAGGAAGACTGGAAGTTATATTTTCCAATGCCTCTTGGAACTGACTTGGAAAGACAATGGACCTTGTCTGGTAGTAATGGACGTTGTATGAGTGCCTAGGTCTTTAAAATGAGCCTATTAAACTTCCTTGCCCACCTCTGCTGCTGTTAAAGTACCTCATTACTGGCTTCCCCCATCATTTTGCAGGAGAAAAGGGGAACCATAAAACTTTATAGCATTGTCCTCTATGAATTTGCCTAAACCCTTTTAACTTCAACCAAGTTGGTGGCCATCACTGCATCTTGTAGTACTGAGTCAGTAATTAGTAACATGCCCATGGCAAAATCTTACACAACCGATCATTGGAATTTTCCCGCAAACTATGGCTTCTAGAAGGAGCTCCCCTATGTATTAGAATTTACAGTAAAGCACAGGAGAATAGGCAGTTTATGAATTGAAATAATTGAACGGACAATTGGATAGGTTGTGAAGCATCAAACAACGAAGTAATACGTTGCCAATAATTTCCTCTGTGGTTCCCCACATTCACACCAGACAAAGCTTCCGGACAGTAACCAAGGGTATATCCCACTTCTATTACAGCTTTCTACCTTTGGGGCTGCAAAGACCATAAATCAATCTGTTTTAGCAGTGTGCTCCATTTATATTCATTATGCTGTTTTCATTAAAGAGTGCTCTTTCCTAGAGACACTCAATTAAGAATTTCAATTATGAAGGATTTGTCAAATTAATTAGCAATCTACATATCTAGTTGGCCATCAGATAACGTTCCCATTTTGTCTTACTACGATCTATTATTCTCAAAACGAGATTCTATAATTAGCATGTCATTTACAGAAATAACTCAAAACTGTACTAAAATTTGAGTTGCGATCGCATGCAGTAGAACTTCAGCCGTGAAGTAGGTTTGAAGTCTGAACTGGATGATGGCCCCAAAGTCTCCTAATACCCATCAGTGTGATTAAAAACAAACAAACCATGCATCAATGTTGCAAACTGTGTAAAGTAAGAGTACAGTGGTACCTCGGGTTACATACGCTTCAGGTTACATACGCTTCAGGTTACAGACTCTGCTAACCCAGAAATAGTACCTCGGGTTAAGAACTTTGCTTCAGGATGAGAACAGAAATTGTGCTCTGGCAGCACGGCAGCAGTGGGAGGCCCCATTAGCTAAAGTGGTGCTTCAGGTTAAGAACAGTTTCAGGTTAAGAACAGACCTCTGGAACGAATTAAGTACTTAACCCGAGGTACCACTGTATGTATGTATGCATACATTAGATATTTCTGAGATATTTTAAAGCTAGACTTTAGCTATTGCATTTATTTATTACTTTCAAACAACAACAAATTATGAACAAAATGCAAACGTTACAGATCTGAAACCTACATACACATTTCCTTCTGCTGCCATTGTTGTTGAAACCCACATAACATGATGGAGACGTACAATTTCTCCTTCATACTTTCCACACCTGTTAGGTAAAGGTAAAGGGACCCCTGACCATTAGGTCCAGTCGCGGACGACTCTAGGGTTGCGTCACTCATCTTGCTTTATTGGCCAAGAGAGCCGGCGTACAGCTTCCGGGTCATGTGGCCAGCATGACTAAGCCGTTATATCCAAGGAAGTCATGGCTTATATTAAATGCAAGTGAGCTGTCCTCTTTATTTCAGCTCTGCAGGGAGTTACATTTGGCACCCGAATTACTAGTTGGCACTCATTTAGAACATGCATTGAATTATTAAATCACAACACCAAGAATGGATCTTATTTATTACTTAATTTCAGAAAAACGCAGAGAAGGAGGGGGGAAACCTTTAATATTTCAGACCAAAAGAAGACTCTTACCCTAAAGAATTCTTTTGTTGAGCCGGAATCTAATGTCCCATAAGCGATTTCTGATTGTTTAGACAAATCCTCGGCACTCTCAATGGGAGATACCATCCTCTCTACCGTCAGGAAGGCAGCTAGGTTAGCCGTGTAGGAGGAGATTATGATCAGGGTAAAGAACCACCACACACCTCCAACAATGCGCCCAGACAGGGATCTAATAACAAGTATGAAATGGATTTGTAAAATGAAATGAATGTCCTGAAAGGAATACAAGTCACCAGGTTTATGTATATGTTGCATTGTGTAACGCAGAGAAATGTTGGTTTTTCCTTTCTACCTTAAGTGTGTTTTTTCTCTCCTCTCAGTTTCAATGCATGCTACTGAAATGGGAAATTAAAAACATACTATAGTTTTGCTAGGATAATTTTACTCAGCTCAAGTGGTGTCACTAAATTCAGGACTCTGTCTTGAGATAATGTACGGAAGCAAAGTACTAGCTCATCAGTCCTTCACTGGTCGGAGGACCCTGGAAAAGAAAGCTGCTTAGATAACATTATAGCCATATTTTAAAAAGTAAGGTTTTCGTGATAACTCAGGTGAATCTTTTGTGACAGCTCAAGCACATATACAAGAAAGTCAGGCAAGATCAATTATAGGCTTTTGGGTCTACGTTTTCCCATTTCCACCAGATCATGTCTACTATGTAAAAATCAACAGTTTCAGCTGCAATGGATTCAGTGGTATAACCCATATTTTGACTGAATAAAATAAGAAGGAATGGCCTTGGTACAAAGTCCCATATGCTCTCCATTGTACTCCTTTAGAAAATCCTAGCAGGAAGGGCAGATGCAATTGAACAATCAAATATATACCACAAGAAGCAAGAGAATTGTTGGACTGGGAAGCCTAATTTTGGGACCACACCATTCACATTTAAGTTTAGCTTTTCAAACAATTACTGCCATGCACTGCATTCATACTTATGTGAATTGCTCAAAAATAAAATGTACATGAACAACTGACAATCAAAATAATAATCTAAGTCCTTACAGAAATACAAGACAGTATATAAGCAACAGAACAACCCTTGATTCACCTTTCTAAGTGTTTCGGAAGAGCTGCTAGCAACATGGCCTATTGTGACATCACTTTAAAAATGTGTAAAACTTTCTTTGGAAGTCTTGCATTTTCTGATTAATATTAATGTTTCATTCTGGGGCCAGGAGTTTTGTTTAGGGTTTTTATTGGGGGGGGGGGCGGAAGATGAGCAGGCAGAGATGTTGCTGTTATTAATTTTTTGTTATGATTTATGAGGAAATTGTTCAATTTGGTTGTGTACTTTTTGATGTTTCACTTACTGTTTATGACTACTTTTGTTACGTTTGTAATTATGCATTTCTTTTCATGTTGTAAGCTGCCTTGAGCATGGTTTTAACTATGGGTAGGCAAACTAAGGCCCGGGGGCCAGATCCGGCCCAACTGCCTTCTAAATCTAGCCTGCGGATGGTCTCAGAACCAGTGTGTTTTTACATGAGTAGAATGTATGCTTTTATTTAAAATGCATCTCTAGGTTATTTGTGGGGCATAGGAATTCGTTCATTTTTGTTTTCAAAATATAGTCCGGCCCCCCACAAGGTCTGAGGGACAGTGGACCGGCCCCCTGCTGAAAAAGTTTGCTGACCCCTGTTAACTATGGAAAGGCAACATACAAATAAAATGATTTATGCATGCATGTATCCTGTAGAGGGGAAAGCCCTACTAGAAGGCTCCCATAGAAATGATTTGGCAAAAATCGGGAATGTGGCCAAATTTCTTGCAATCCCATGTGGCTGCCAGTTGGAAGCTCTTTCTTACAAGCAACGCTCTAAGCAGAAGAACTTTGCCATTCATATCTGCCATAATGTGTGCTGGATCCTCAGGCCAGCATCTTGTGCATTGCCAGCACAAACATCAGCATGCCTAGTCAGGGGCGCACTGAATTCACTGTGGCTCCACGGGCACAGGATTGCATCCTAAGAAGCTTTTAGATGTTACTGCTTCAGCTTGGAGCACTGACATGAGAGAGAGAGCTTTTCAGCAGCATTCAAGTGAGCATATCAACCTTTTTCTTTCCTGGTGTACTTATATCACTTTTCAGAAAATAAAAAAGGAAATATTTTTACATGCATAGTTCTTAATTCTTTGACTGACACCCTTTGGGACTACTTAAAATTATAAAGTCCATTTTATTGCCACTCAAGCACATTGGAGTCAGCAAACTCGTAATATGCTTGTTTTAACAACCAGAAATGGATGCTAGCACGCCTCTCCCCTGAAGGCAATGTTCTGTCTTGTCTAGGTCAGTCATAAATTTGAATATAGAGAGCTACTGTAACATAATTGCTAAGAGACTGCGTTCTGAATCATTTAAAAAATCCCCCTTAAAAATTTATGCCATGAACTCACTTGTTGGCTTTAGGCAAGGCTCTCTCTCTTTCAGCCTCTCTCCCCATCTGTAATTTGAGTATAACAAATATTGGCTGGCCTTACATGGTTGTTGTGTGCATTACAGTAAGACAACATGCTATATAAATGCGAAGTTTTAAATTTTTTACTTGGCTAGATCTGTTTTATCATATTAATTAGACCTATGCTCTAACCTGCATATTTAGCTTCAAGGTGGCATATACTGCAAATTGTTTTGCAGCTGATCTCTCATTTCACGATCTTCCCAAACCTTTCAGTGTCTACTTCGTCAGGCATTAATATTTATGAAATTTTAATTTGCTTTTCAGTTAGGATTTAGAGTATCTATTAATAGATACTGGTTTAACTCCTGTGTTAAAAGTTGGGTTATTTATAACATTCTCTAAAATTCACTTTTCCAAATATGGATACTGAAAGGGAGAAAGCCAGATTCCTCTACCACAGATATACTAAGATGTCCTAAATATCAGACACCAGTAAGTTGCTTGCTAAACAATGCATTCTTACTTCCATTTCCTTGAATGAATTCAGTACTGGCCCCAGAATTTAGAAGTCTGTGATCAAGCGGGGTGCTAACCTGGAAGATGTGATGGGGCCATGCAACTGAGAATTTTATTTCTGATCTTTTTTGAAATACACTATAAAAAAGTGAAAATGGTAGCACTGCTATGATGGTTGGGTCCTCTGTTGAACCCTAGCCAATGCCCAAACTTGCCACCCTCTGGGCCAAGTGCTAAATGAATTTCAGCTTTGATACAGTTCACATACTCAAAATGATGCATCAACAGGTGCCCAACAGAGCTGTTGAGCTTAGGCTGCAGAAGGGTAATGGAATAGCTGATAACACTACAAAAGAAACATGTAAAAAAAGCATGGGCATAATAAATTATAATTTGAGCTGCAGTTACTCGTGGCTTAAAACCAAATACCAAGACCAGAATCTAAGTTTCTAAAAATGAAAACAAAACAAAACAAATCACCCCAGATTTTCTCTCTCTCTCCAGGATAAAGTAACTACACACTCTTGCCAAGTTTGTTGTACCTGGTTCACATGACTATTGAGTTATCAGAATACCTTTCTATTTTCTATTCCAGTGATTTTCCTGAAAGGAGATGGGGAGTTTAAGCAATAGGCAGAATGCCGTGCAAAATGGCTTGTGGAGGGGAAAGCACTCCTTCCACAGCTCATTAATTGTGTGTTACCCTTTTTCCCATTACAGCATCTGTGAAATCAATGCACCGTTGGCTGTGAATGGGAATATGCAGCAAAAACACGGTACCCCTCCAAGAAGGCATGGAATGAGGGGGACCTCATGCATTTTATGGCCTCTGCATGGTGCATATAAGTCCACTAGGGCAAGGCAGGACCGATGCTCAGAGGGAACCAACTGAACAGCCCACTGGCCTGCATCGGGAGAAGTTGTTTCCATCTAAAGGGCTGTGGATAATTTTGAAAAACATGTCAACAGCTGGCATTTCTTGAGATTGAATCTATATGCACCATGAACTTCCGGAGTGAGACCCAAAATGCACAAAGCTGAAATGGGTGTGTAACCAACCTTGGCGAAATATCGCATCCTTGCTGCATAAAGGCACCCAAGGAAAACCAGAGACTATTAAATATCCCAAATTCATTAGTTGATTCGTTACTTTGCGATGGTCTTCCATCTTCAAACTCCTCAGTGTGCCACTCGTATGGGCTAAATCTGCTGACCAGGAATAAAACAACACTGACCCCAATGTAGGCAAAAACTATGCACATCCAGATCTCATACGCTAAGGGATCAAGAAAGGAAAACACTCCTGGCTTGGACTTCTGAGGCTTCTTGATCATTATAGAGATACCAAGGCTCATAAAGGGCTTTGAGAAGTCAATCACTTCTTCTCTCACCAACGTTATAGTTAATGGAGCAATTGCAATATCGGCTTTCTGTAATGCAAGCAAAACAAAATAATAACTTATTCAATATTTAACAAGGGAATGGCGTTATTGCTTTTGTGCATCGCAGATGAAGAATGCAACAGCAGGGACATGGGTAATACTAATTTCAATTCTAGCATCCTACTGAGGAATAAACTACTAAGCAATCTGCCTACAATAGTCTACTTCCTGACATACACGGTACCACGTGGCTTCACTTTTATCATGCAAATGATACCTCTTTATAATCACACACCAAACAACATTGTCAGGCCACAGCCCCTGAATGTTTAGGACATTTGAGTGCACAGAAGTTTTGATTTGGAGGAAAAGGTGATGAAATGCAGAGATATTGACCTCTTTTCAAACGCCCATTTAAGTCTCACTTGGATCCACGCAAACAGCTGTGATACCAACACGCGCTAACCTGATCTCTGTTAGTCATAGCTACTTGCAATGGTTAAAAACGTCTCTTACCCCATAAACAAGTTCTCCAACCATTCCATTCCAGATTTTTGTTTCTGCATCCCTGGCCCCATACTTGCGATCCCCAACAATTGTGAGTTTGTACTTGAACCCACAGTGTTTGGCAATTTCTGCAGCTAAGTCCACACAGTAGCCCTCATAGGCATCATTTCCGTCAAGCAATTCAAAATTTTTTTTCTTCATAACATAGGGGGATTCCTGTACAGAGAAACTTGGCTTTAGCTAATCAAAAAAGGATGCCATGTTAGTCATCTATTCTTTGTGTACAGGGTTGGAAGTACATTGAATAAAACAATTTTTAAAAAACCTGTATTTCCCCCCTGAAACATTCAGGATTGTTTATTTATCCATCATCACAATAACATTTCTTCACAGTTGCAGCAAGCCTTACAGGTAGAGAGGCGTTTTCAAAGGTGCATTCATAATTCTCATCAGCATTAATAAACTGTATGTTGACAAGTAAAGAAAGAGTTTTAAAACTTTTTATTTAGATAGCCTTCTAAAAAGAGAGAGCTGCATTGGATCATTCCTGCTTATTCCATAGTATTTCACACCTCTGTTACCACCAGACCCACAACTGATCATATAAAACTTACAATAAATATAGCTGTTTAAAAAAAAAAATCTTACCACCATCAAAAGTTGACAAATTGTTGGTTCCTTTAATATATAATCCAGAACAGTTAAGCCTTGAATGAACAACTCTGAACAATGATTAGCTTACTAAGTAAACAACATTGACATTCCTACTATATGACTATATATGATTTTGCTATTTTAAAGTGATAAGGGAAAATGTCACATTCTTTTGCTTAGTGGATTGAAAGTGACTAGAGAGAAAGAGCTTTGCATTTGTTCCTGGCTTAACAACCTCTATCATGTAACAATTTTAGCACAAAATCAAAGCACAGAGTCCTGCTACAACAGAATAATGCTTCCTTGAAATTGGTTCCCTTGAAATTTTGTTTCATTTTTTTTTTAAATCTTATCCACCACAAATCCTGCTATTTAAATAAATAAATCAATAAATAAAAGCAAAGGCATGTTTCAAAATCCTCCAAACCTGCAGCAACAGGCAATGGCACCGAATACTTTCCTCTTGTTCCTCAACCTTTCACAAATACACAGGAATAAAGTCAACTAGGCATGACTTATTCCAATATAGACCAAGAATGAATGATAAGGTTGCAATTTAGACTATCCATTTCACAAAAAACGTGTTTAATTACCAAAATAGTTGTGACAATAATAGTCTTATTCTCTAATCCCGAGGATTCATTGCAAGATGGACATTCAATTGGATTCACAACCATTCTGTCCACTTCACTCCAGTATCCAATCTGAAAAAAAGTTGCAGGTTGTATTCAGGGCAAATAAATGCATATTTTTGTTTAGAAGCATGATTTTTGATAAATTGCATTCACATACCCAATTCCTGCCTAAAGCTGTAATCAAGAACTAATAATAGCTGCTTTTATTTTTTATTCAGAAGTCCCTTGAACGTAAAATGAATTCCTCATTCCCACATTGATCCATAGTTTAAAGGTACGGTAAGTCATAGTTTAAAATGCACTATGATTTAACATGAATATGCAGCATGCTGGCAGGTACAGCTCAATCATGCCTGCTTTGTTCCTTTTCCACTCTTACTTATTCCCAGCTGGGATGAAACAAATCACAGGGCTGGCTTTGTGTTTACATGTGAACTAGCATCCACGGTGTCCCCTACCGCTAAAGAAACAAAATAAGCTGGCTTCTTATTGAGGTCTCTTTGGACCACAAAAAAGGTTCACAGTTAACGCTCCAGTTTGTGTCCTCTTGGCTTTGGACAAGGAAGAGTAGGAAAAGAACAAAGGGCATATGACTGAGACATGTGAACCAGCATGCTGCTCATTTGCAGTAAACAATAATTTTCTATTGTTTACTAAATGACTTCCTGAGGTATGCAAACCAGATCCTGGTTACATTTCAGGATAAAAAATTCAGAAAATTCTACCCTTTTCAGAGAGTTCATTATCTTTTTAAAAGCTAAATTTTACCACAAGTACTCCCTCTTACTTTTAAGTGTAAACATGAAAGATGTAAAGTAAAAGAATATAAACTATACTGAAAGACTCTACTTACCTTAAATTATTATCTTTGTTACATTTTTTAAAAAAAAACATTTTTATATCTCTACAGATAGGCATTTAATTGCATTATATCCGTATGTTCCGCATTAAGATACCTCCTTTTTAAAATACCACTTAGCAGGAAATAACAAAAAGCAGGCAGAACCAAAATTACCTTCCGGGGACCAGTACTTTTGAGTTCCATGACATTTATTGTATAGTTAATTCTCTTTCCATTCTGATCAAACTTTATGTTTCCTGATAGCCCTTCCACCTGAACCTATGTGGAATAAGGATGGAAAGGATGGTAAAGTTAAACTAATTTGTCCACAAAATACATTTCATATCACCTGAATTTTCATTTGTGCTGAGGACTGTTCTACAGATAATAGTCATTTTCTGCATTGCTGAGAAGTCCCCACAGAAGTGTTAAATACACAGGTTGACTGGTCTTCCTTTATTTTTATTTTTAATGTTGAAGACATTCAGAGATCATTTAATACACAGTAATTCCACAATACCTGCTTCAGTGCCCTTTCTATTTCTACACCATGTGACCAAGGCACTGCTGGGTTTGCAAGACAGTCTCCAGCATTTCCTCTTCTGGTAATCTCAATCCTTTGTTTACGCAAGTTACGGAAAGCTTCAGTCATCACTTTGACAGCATCATAGGTCAGAGCTGATGTGTACTGAAAAGGAGCAAATATAATTCATTAAGCACAAGTTAAGAAAACTATCCTTCAGTTCTTATTTGTAACTGATTGCATCAATTAAAAGAGAAGGGAGGAAAGTAAAGATCATTTCCACACCCTTTGAGGTTATATTTTTCCACAATGCATACAACTGATTTAGTTCAGTGAGTATTTCTTATCATTACCCAACACTGGGGGAGCTGCTGAGGGTGAAGAACCTGCAGCCATTCAGATGCTGTCATTGGTCATGCTGTTGAGAGAGTCCATCAACATCTGGAGGTCACCTCATTGGTAAGCCCATCCTTCATGCTAATTATGATTCAGTTCTCCAAGTAGCATCACTCATGTAGCCAAAATTACAGTGGTTGTACACAATGGGGTGGTATAATCAGATGTGGGGTAACCCTAAGAACATAAGAAGAGCCTGCTGGATCATCTAGTGGCTCATCTAGTCCAGCATTCTGCTTTCACAGTGGCCAATCAGATGCAAGAAGGACCCAAGCACAAGACATCCAGCCCATCTTGGACTCTGTGGATCCTGTAGCTGAGACTGTCTTGAGTGACAGATGGGGGAGAGGGAGATATGAGGATACGTGGATATGTGGTGTTGAGCCTGGGCAGAGGTGAGCAGGTTGGGGGAAAGCAGAATGATCACCAAGCTCACCTTGCTCATTGGTGCTTGGCAAATGTGTGGCGATGAGCAAAAGTTGGTCCCTACAGCAAAGCAGAACAGCTCCCATATGCTATCTTTCATTGCCAGCCCTTAAGGTTGAGAGTTCTCCTAGTGGTGATGAGGTTGACAGTTCAGCATACAGTCCTAGCTAATCTAACCCCATGAGCAATGACAAGGGGAGCAGCAGCTGCCAGCAGCTCCCTGAGAAAATCACACCGGAAAGTCCCTGGGTCCTAGATTCAACAATAGCTAGGCACAGTGCAACATGCTGCTTTATCCACCCTCCAGCTATGGTATCAAAGGAGAGGACTTGGCAGCCCAGTTCTAGGCATGGTGAACTCTCATCAGCCTCAGCCAGCATCAGGGATGATGGGAGATGGAGTCCACAACATCTGGAGAGCGCCACATTGACAACCCCTGATGTTGAGCTAAGTCTACAGTCTTTCTCAACCTTGGGTCCCCAGATGTTTATGGCCTACAACTCCCATCATCCCTGACCACTGGTCCTGTGAGCTAGGGATCATGGGAGTTGTAGGCCAAAAACATCTGGGGACCCAAGGTTGAGAAACACTGTGCTAATAGGATAGACTCAGCATAATGTAAAGTATAATGTAAAGTAAAGCCCAGTGTTCCTAACCATAATCTATAGAAAGTTAGGATTTGAAAATAATTCTTTTGAATCTTGCAGCAGTTGTTCAACAGCTGGAAGCATGAAAATCTTGTTCACTCAGATACTTCAATTTTCTGCACCTCATAAAGATTTAAAGAGTCTGCCATCATTTGGATATTTTTTCTTGCAATAACAGAAATGTTTTGCCACACTTACAGCATGCCTAATAAGACAATGATTTAGTGAAACTGGCCTTCCTATAGTTTTTATTATATCAGAATATACAAGTTCACTTTCCCTACTTAAAGGCTCCCAGGAGAGAATTTTCAAGAGTTTTGTAAAGTCTGCATCTAATACTTGGAGAGGAGTTTGTGTTTCAGGGCCAATAACGAGATGCCAACCTTTAGTGCAGTTTGAAGATTAACTGTAAAAAATCTAGTTGTAATACAAACAGCCAAGAGTAAATACTACTGGGAACATGTACAGGGCGTTTGTTTCATCAGTTTGCACAAAAAAACCCTAAAAGCTATGGCAAGGTTTTATTATGGCACTTGATCTTAAGCTCCTGGTTCAGGCATCATGCCAGCGAATGCCTTTTCCTTGTATAATCTTGTTCCTTGTCATTTTCCGCCTACCAGACTCCTGTCACTGCATCAACTTCCGCTAGTATTGGAATCCAGCAGTAGCATGAATGGTGAACATCTGTTTATCCTTTCACCTTAAACAGAAAGGGCGTGGGTCAGAAGACTCCTATGGATGAGATGATACATTTCAGGAGTCGCTCCCATGGTGAAAAAAATTCCCCACTTGAGTATCTATCTTAGACACCCCCACAGAGGGGTGAACTATCTACTTTGAGCAACTTCCTTTTCTATCCAGAAAAGCAAAGCCGGCACTATAACGCAATGGGGTGTTTGTGTGCTCAGAAGCATTTACGGCTGCCATCTGCCCTTCTCTCTTGATCACGTATTCATTGATCATGTATGGAGTACAGTATAGATCAAAATTTTCCAAATTTAATCTTTTGCTGGAATGATTTAGCGTTGCTTGCTCGGAGACTAGTCAGTAACTAAATTATGCTAGAGCACACCGCTGAGATAGGCAATTTCTCCTGCTGCTACTGTAATCACTTATATGCGCCCTGAAATAACTGCAGTCTTGAGGCAAATATAAAATGGTTTATGACGCGTAGTCCTAGCTAGTATTAATTACAAAACAGTAGGGTGGTTTATTTTCTAGGCCTGTGACCTTTATACAAAGTTAAGTGTATGGATGTAATATTTTCATCCCTGTATACACTGATTAATGATTCAAGAACAAAGTGTCAGTATTAAAAAGTGTAGCACAAGGCTTTAGATTTATTCTGTGGTTGCTCTTTACTATCATTTCCTAATTGCCCAAGTAGATTTCGTAGTGTTTTATCCCATTTTCTCAAAACCCTAAATGCATCTGCATGGAAATAGGATATTAGCAGAGCTGCAAAAGTAGAAGATGCTCTTGCCCAGTCCCATGAACTAAGGTTCAACATACTGGGTTGTCTGTGTCTTTTAATAAAATTGAGCAGTTTCTAGCCTGCTTGCCAAGTAGTTGCAGCTCATGTCCTTCCCCCAGGTGCTCTGTGATGCAACAGCAGAAGTAGTCGTAGGTGTGGTAATGCCACCACACCTCCTAAGCTGCTGTCAAAGCTTGTGGCTTTAAATTGTGTTTTTGAAAAGAAGGAGAAAGGTCACACTTTAAATGCATAACCCACTTCTCCCAAATCATTTCGTGCACATCATAGCTCAATGGCCAAACATTACAGAATGGATAGGACTCTTACCACTGAACTACATTCTGGCTGGTTACATTCCAGCTATGCAAAAGCCCAAAGTTTCTATACACACACAAACCACACATACCACACACCCCTCCATCCAGGGAAGCAAGAGACATGTTCACAGTTCACAGACCCATTCCAGCCAGACAAAAGCAATCAGGGAGAAGTCCCAAGGGCCACATAGACAGGCCTGGAGGACCACATTCTCAAAACAGATTTACACTAGCATTTGCTTCAACCTAAGTATGGGCATGCATCTAAGAAGGAGCATATAAATGAAAGGCATTGGAAATTACAGCCCCTGCTTGGGGCAAGGAGGGCTAGAGCAATCTCAGCATCACTTCAGGGGTGTGTGGGGTGGACACAGGGGGAATGTAACACAGCCCAGGGGAGGATACGGAAGAGATTGACTGGCTCCCCCCTCCCATCGCCACCTCCTCTTCCTCCACAGGTGCCACTTTCTGCACAGTCCTGGGCATGCGTGGAAGGGAGGGTATTTGCTACTGCAGTCATTTCCAGGCTCTGCTGCAGGCACCAAAGAAGGAAGAGAAATAAGACCATGGGATGGGCCAAGGCAGCTTTACCACTTAGGGAACATGTGTCTGATCAGGCTGTGTAAGTCCTATGCCTGATCAGGAGAAATCCTCCCTGCCTGCCTTGCCCTGCTCTATTAATATAGTCAGTTTCACAACCCTAAAACAAAACAAACAGCAGTGGGGAGGTTGAGTTCAAATTGTTCCAGAAGATAAAATAATTAATTGAGGAGTTTAAGATCATACAAAATGTTGCCAGACACCCACTGGGAGCAAAGATGAGAAGCCAGACAATTCCCCCCCCCCCCATCTTTCCAAGATTTTGATTCCCTGAAATATGCAGCTTCAAACTTTATTTGCCCTTCCTCATTGCAGAACCAATCCCTTCCTCATTTTCAAACACCCTCCCCTTTTCCATCTTTCCATCTTTTTCTGGCTGGCCAGGTCCAAGCTCAAATCCCACTTCTTTCATTCCAAAACTCACACAGAGATAGCAAATTAAATATTTGGAAGAAAGTTTTCAAATGCATCAGGACACTGCAGGTGTGTTGCTGTACCCTGAGAAGTGGCATCCGAAAAACCATTACACTGACGTTGATGTCGTACCTAAGTAACATTTGGTCATGATTGTAAAATGGAGGGCAGCACAACCTTTCCACAGATGTAAAAGTCAAAGATGGGGCAAGGGAGGGCCAAACGGATCTGATGCCATTTCCATCAATAAGCATAATATTATCATACTGCTAGTTTACATGGCATGTCCAGTGGAAGAAAAAGGCAATAACTGGGGAGGGGAAGCATAAAACTAGTCTGAGAAATTCTGGAGAAAAGAGTCAGAAGTAGTGGCCTTATTAAAAGTGTGACTGAGCCTCGTCTGCATTGCTGAGAGGCAAGAAGTAGCAATACTGGTAAAAAGCATCAATGGAAGGAAATAAGAGAAAGGATATGATGTCACAATCATCCTCCCCTCTCTAACTTTTGCTTAAAGCATTTTACAGGCAATTCTTTAAAATTTATTTTGCTTGTCTCAGAGGAAGCTGAACCATCCCTGCTTCCCTTTCTGCCTCTGACATATTCTTTTGATTGAAGAGGGTTCTAAATCACACATGGTGACAAAATAAATGCTACCTTACATCCTACCTTAAATAAATGCTGCCTTCAGGTAACCTTAAGACTGCAGTAGAGCAAAAAACAACAACCAACAGCAACCCGAAGCAACCATGCACTATAACAAAATTGCTTTTAAATTAATGTAAACTGCTTGGAACATCTGGTTCCCACCATGATTACTGTTAGGCTGTGTTAAAAATGCCTCCACTGAAACAGAAATCTATTGACAAGCAGAGAGCTGAAGTTCTCCATTTTAACAGCTCGCCTTATTTCAAAGGAGATGACATTCTGGCAACTGGCTTTTCAGTCACATTATCCAGGAAAAAAGTGCTTTACTTGTGCTGCCTTATCTCTTATATTCAGAGACAGAAAATCTGTGGTTGACTCAGAAGGATATCGTAGATCACTGTACAACGAAGGTGGCAGACCTACCTCTGTGTGAAAGGGAATTCTACAACTTATACAATTCTATAATTAATCTATAATTATCTGTGGCCTCCTTGTGTGAGTGGAGTTTTTAAATCCTGCCTTTTCAAAATAGCTTTGTCTTTAAGATTCTTGTTTTCTTTTATGCCAGTTTTAAAGAATGAGTCTATTTATATATTGCAACTTGCTTTGAGTTACCTTGCAAAGAAGATCAACCAATACATTTAATAAATAACAACAACAACGTAGGGGCTACCACAGAAAATGCTATTTCCTGGCTCACTCCCCCAGCCCCACACACTCTGAGGGTGGTAGCATTACCAAGAGGGCAACCTCTGCTGAGAGGGTCTGTAGGGAAGAACTTGGTCTTTCAGACTTTGGGGCTTTAATAATCTAAGGAATCCTAAACTATGCTGTAGTAGTAAAGCAATGTGCCATCATATGGTGACCTGCACTATCATTGGTTCATTCTGTGCAGGCCACTTACCAATCTCTCTGCATAGACACAGCAGAAGATTGTGCAAACTGGGACCTGTGAGATGGCAGACTGAAAATCAATGGACCCTTCTCTCTCTCTTTCTTTTATCTACAACAATAGAAATAAATTACTATAGCACAAGGGACAGAGTCTGCAGGACTTTCATTCCTTTTTCCACCAACGTTTTAAGAAATCAAAGGGGAGGTAGTTTGAATCCTGAAAAATATAATGTTAGAAACAAACTCTGAAGACTGTTCTAAATAAATAAACAATACTCCCTTTAAAATGCATTTTTTTGAGGGTGTGAATTGGGTTGGAAATGTCTCTTTCCATTTAGTACTATATCTCACATCCTTGTGTTGTAATATGACATACTGATTTATGTCAGTCATATTCTATTGCTTATCGTGCTCACAACAGAAAGTGGCCTTGTGTGTTTCCTTGTGGAAATGTACTGAAGGGGAACTGGAGGCAACTTGAGGACAAGTAGTGATTGCTATCAAATGACGAGTCTGAATTGCAAAATATTTCTGGAGCGGTACTTTGGTACTGGGGTGAGGCTGTCATATTTCTGCTTCTCTGTACACACTATATCTTTAAAGCACATTCAAAGCACATTTCTCCCCTCAAAGAATTCTGGGAACCGTAGTGTGTTATGGGTTGCTGGTAACTGTAACACTGTGAGGCGTAAACTGCAGTGCCCAGAATTCTTTTGGTGATGAAATATTCTTGAAAGGTATAGTTTTTACTGAGCTTTAGTAACTTGGGATATCAAGGTGGAGCAAGTCGTGCTCTGAGTAGCCTTGCTGTTCGAGTTGAGGCAGATAACCACCTGGTCAACCTGGATATGAAACAGATTTCCTACGACTTCTTGTCTGATTTGATCTTTGTGGTCTTTTTAGCTTCAGGTGAATACCTTCGTGGTCACCAAAGCTTTTAAAATAACTCCTGCAGTCTGGTCACCTCAGGTTTTAAATATATTTTTCAACTTTGGGGTATGATGTGTTTTGGGTTTGTGTTTTTTAAAAACTGCATTTATGCCATTTGTGATGTTGGAGTTTTATTTTTAATTTTGTATTGCAATGGCTTTTTAAATTAATTTATTTGTTGAAGCTGCCCAGAGATCTCTGTGCTTTGGAGCAGCATAGAAATGTCATGAATAAATAAGCAGTCTCCATTGCTAGCATTTCATAAATATGCTCTGCACTCCTTTTCATCCAAGTTCTGTGTTGAAGTTGACCCAGTTTACATAAACTGAATTAAATATGCACATTGGAAATATTTCTCTATTTTTGAATGAAAATGAAACTACTTCCCAGAACCAATTTTGATTCAATAATTTTGAATGTTCTGCCAAAGGTGGAAGGAGGGGAAATAAAGAAGGTTATAGAAACTGCTTCTGGAAGAACAATGCCTAATTATGCCAGTGGGGCTGAGTGGGGAAGAAAAAAAGCCATACAGAATGCCAAAATTTTCATCCTCTTGTCACCAACAGCTTTCAGAATCTACAGCTCTTCTAACAACTCTAAACAAATAATGTTTAGAGGCCCCTCCTCTTATGGAAGCCTCTTCTGTACAGCAGAGGCTGCCAAGTGTGGAGGGATGGGAAGGTAGGACTTGCCTGGTGGGGCAGAGCTACAGCAATAGCCTTCCACAACCGGTGTCACTGCAGCTTACTAGAAGCAGGAGGGGAAAGGCAATTGGGAAGTGCAACAGCTACGTACCTGCCTTTAAGCTACCTGCATAAACCATGCTTCACACTGGCAATGGAATTCAATAAATGAATATTCTACTGAACATGTGCGGAATATGAAAATTTAAAAGCAGCACTAGGCAAGAAGCAACTAATATCTAACCACCATAGCTCATACCATCTTTCTCTTTTTCCTTTCCCCTTTAATCACTAAATCTTTCTCACAGTGTTGAGGTTCTTCTATTTTAAGTCACAGATACGACATACCTTCCCTTGGGCCATTACGCCTTCTCAGTCGGAAACATGTATATAAAATTAAATTCTATCGAATTCTGATTCAGTCAAGACTGGGGGTGTCTTTTGCATCACAGAACGTAATAGACCTGCTTTAGGACATTAGCAAGGAAGACTATTTTCATAAGTGACTTCTGTTATGAAGGAGTTATTGCTTTTATTTCATATGAATTCTGAGCACAGTAGTTTATTTTTCACAGAAATGTGACACAACCACTGCTATCCTTTGACTCTGCCACATGGGATAGTTGTTCATGCAACTGATGAAGTGGGCACTAGTCTGTGAGAGCTAATGCCTCATCAAAATTATTAGTCTTCAATCTTCCACAGGTTTATCAATTTTTTCTAGAATAGATTCACAAAACTGTTCTTCTAGAATTCATTATTAGTGTGACAACTACGACAACAAACACTTCTTTCCCACAGTATACCCTAGTCCAAGTGTATTAGCAAAAGTGTACCTTGATTGTACTAGTATGTGCTCCTGGATATTCTTTTTCTTCTAATGTTGACCAGCGCTGTATAAATTTTGACACCAGGGGATCATCATAGTCCACTATCTGAAAACCTGATACGTTGGCTCCTCCAAACTGTATTTTTGATAAGTCTCCATCAGTAAATCCCTAGGCATTGAACACATTGGTCAGTTGGCCAGTTATTCAACTTTTCTGTCATATTTTAGTAAGAAAAACATTAACACTAAAAGGTTCACATACACATTTGACTCATAAAACTTTTCCTCACATAAGGGTTTCTTCTCTTTTCAACAAAAATTACTGCAGACTTCCAAGAGTTACATTGGCTGTCTGCCTTGTCATTCACCTTTAAGAGCTCAGGGAAATAGAGACTGCCATACAGGGAATGCATTGGTCTTCAGGAGTAGATTTGTGTGAGGAAGAACTGCTGCAAGAAGGAAGCACCTGTAGTCTATGCATGTTCAGAAGGCCATTTGCATCATATTTTTTGACTGTCAGAAGTAACAGTAACCTTATTGATCCATTTATGATTTAACAGTAAGCCATAAAAAAAGAACTAGAAGGTCTTGGGCTCATGGTACCTTCTCTGACATGACCACTCAATGCACAAATGTCATGGGAAAGGGCAGCATCGTGCATCATGTCAGAAATAGGACCAGCAGGCATATTCCTGATCCCTGATATCCATGTGGAATAAACACATGGAAAATAACGGGCTACAGTAAATGGGTTAGAAGAGGAATATGAGAAGAGATGGGCGAGTAAGAGGAATGGGCAAGGCAGAGTGGGAAAACTGGCTTGTTAGATAGGGGGATGATCATTTCACGCAATTCTGATATGATCCATGGATACCTCCTCTACTTCAAATTATTAACAGCTCTATAAGATGTTTTCTAGACAGCAATCTAGTCTGTCAATGAACTATATCATATAAAATTACCCCCCAAAACAGACAAACAAACAAACAAACCCCACTTTAATATCTGAGAGCTAAGTTGTGGTTATTAGTATTAAATTAACTTACCAAATTTGCAATGATGTAGTGGTATCCATTTACATGCTTTCCAATTGTAATAACCTGCAAGAGAAATATATAACTTATCTGATTAGGGAAATGGCACATATACTAGAAGAAACACTTCATCTAATAATGTGGGATTAATTATGGATTACACTGGAAAATATATGGTTCTGGGCTGAATCTTTTGAAGGCTTTGTGGAGGGCATTTTTGGGGTGGGGAAACCCAACAAGATCTCAAATAGGGCAGGGCGTATTATGAATTCCATATATATATTGCTTGTTTTCAATAAGGCCTGCACTTTCCTTAGTCACTGTACAAGGTGGCTGTGGGATCTTTATTGTTGTTAATGCAGAATTGGACAGCACTTTCTAAAATGTCCAGCCAGCCTCCTCCCCACAAGGCCTATTCTCAGGGTTCCTAGGAATGCTGAAGAGAACACCTCTTCAATTCACAAGGCCCAGTCCTAAAAATATTTGAAAGTAAAAATATATCTGTATGTAACTCCTATACATGTATACATCCGCTGAGTTTAACGGGGTTTCTCCAATGTGAGTATAAAATGGCAGCCGATACCCAAAGAACTACAGTGGTGCCTCACAAGACGAAATTAATCCGTTCCGCGAGTATCTTCGTCTAGCGGTTTCTTCGTCTTGCGAAGCAACCCTATTAGCGGCTTAGCGGCTTAGCGCTATTAGCGGTTTAGCGGCTATTAAAGGCTTAGCAGCTTAGCGGCTTAGCTGCTAAAAGGCTATTAAAGGCTTAGCAGCTTAGAAAAAGGGGGGGGAGCGAAAAAAAATCTCAATACTCGCAAGACATTTTCGCCTTGCGAAGCAAGCCCATAGGGAAATTCGTCCTGCGAAGCGCATTGAAAAACGGAAAACCCTTTCGTCTAGCGGGTTTTCCGTCTTGCGAGGCATTCGTCTTGCGGGGCACCACTGTATTCAGTGAAGACTAAGTATGCTCAGTGGCCTTGTTGAGGGTCAGTGAATTGGCCTGACTGAGCTCCTTAAAGCTTGTATTATCCCTGGGAGAGAGCAAGCCTGACCCGGGGGGTGGATCTACTATGAACAAATGAAGCTTAAGCTTCAGGGCCCCTAATCCCAGAGGGTCCCAGAAGCGACTTTAGTCCACATTGCTTAAAACAATTAGGTCTGGTAGACCCAATTTGAATCACACAGCTCAAACGGATTAATTTTTTGTTGTATATATCTCAACAATCCCAAAGTTTGAAAGCCAAAAGCATAAATGTTGTAAAGGTAGAGTGTTGCGGTACAGCAATCTGAAGCAAAATCTGAGGTGTAGTACAGTGGTACCTCGGGTTACATACGCTTCAGGTTACAGACTCCGCTAACCCAGAAATAGTGCTTCAGGTTAAGAACTTTGCTTCAGGATGAGAACAGAAATTGTGCTTCAGCGGTGCAGCGGCAGCAGGAGGCCCCATTAGCTAAAGTGGTGCTTCAGGTTAAGAACAGTTTCAGGTTAAGAACGGACCTCTGGAACGAATTAAGTACTTAACCCGAGGTACCACTATACTTAATTTTTTTTAAAAAATAATATTATGCTGATCTGTCATAGAACAACCCCCTTGAAGAAGATGACAGTGGTTATCCAGACCTTGTTGCTAGTTGTGAAGGGGCCCCCATGATAGTTCAAGCTTCAGGGCCCCCAAAATGTAGGACTGCCACTGAACGATAGGGTGCCTGACTGACCAGTAGAAAAGCAGTTCTGGCACTGGGCCAGGATACAATGAAACATTTTGGTCACATTGACAGTATACAGTTAAAGCACATTTAAAACACATGGCTTCCTCCAAATAATCCTGGGAGCTGTAGTTTGTTAAGGGTGACGGGAATTTTTCAGGATTCTTCATGGTGGAGTAATGTGTTATAACTATATGGTGTGGGTATGACATTGCAATTCCCACAAGTATGCTATATTATTCATATATAGTGCTAACACAAGGGCTAGCCATTCTATATCTGTCTTAGAATCACAGAATTGTAGCATTGGAAAGGACCCTGAGGATCATCTGGTCCAACCCCCAGCAATGCAGGGATATGCAGCTGTCCCATACGGGGATTCAACCTGCAACCTTGGCGTTATCTGCACCACACTCTAACCAACTGAGCTTTGAAATCTCTTCTGTGCCCTGTGTTACAGAAGCATTATTGCATTATTCACAGGCTCAAAAAGAGGATGAGCCAACTGCTAGCCTTCCCTAGGAAAAAAACCCACAGTTACTGTTATGGAAGAAGTACAACCTGTTCTGCAATAAACTAAAGAGCTTGGGGTCTGTTTATTTTTTTCTGATTTAGTCCTATAAATGTCAATGGAGCTAAACAGGCTACACTCCAAGTACTTCAAGTTAACTAGGTAGTATAGATCAGACTGAGTATCTTTTAATTTACCATTGATCAAACCAAGGCATCCACGTTTCATTTCAGGTATCATCCTTTTAATCTTCTCTGATGGTCAGAAGTACATAATAGGCGTCTTATAGAGGACTTCATTTGATGAAGTGCCAGAATGAAAAGGTCTTGTGTTGAGAAAGGATGGAAGCAAGGCATTCTACCTAAAGCCTTCAGCCCACAGATTCACTTTCCACTCCAGCTCAAAAGCTTTTCAATCTGCTCAGCTCCAGGTGAGTAACAGAGCAATTCTAATCCCAGCCAGGTAGAAGTGGGAAGTGACAGAGTGGAGCAGCCACTGCTGCATCTACAGCCCCATCACTCACAGCACAGAGCAGCTAGCCTGGATCTGGTGTAATACTTGAACCCAGATTGGGCTCAGTGCCAACAGGTGGTGGCAGTGGGGCCAGTTTATAACCAGCTAAGCCCTTCCTGCTCTCTGCCCCGGCAGAACAGCCAAGGGTGGGAATCAGCAATTTCCTCCTATCCAGGTGTAAGCGAAAGCACCGTATGCTCATACATGGATCCTTTGGATCCAAGTTACTGTGAAAATGAGAACTGTGCATTAAACACCGAGAGCATTTATTAATCACAATAGAAATTTGATTTCTAAAAAATCTGATGAACTGGATTTTCTGCTCCATGCATCAGCGTTAGCAGAATGTTCTTGTCATTGCCGAAGTATGCAAAAAAGAATGCAATTTTATTACCAACGCTGGACCCAACACAAATAAATTGTGATGATAAATCATGATGGGAGCATTTCATATACGCTTACACTGTTAGGCATTAAAAAATAGAGGGAAGCAAACCTGGTCTACAATGTCGTTGACTTTATCCCGTTCACAGTCGAGAATGACTCGCCTTTCTCTTTTTACCTCCAGATCCCGAAACAATGAGCGGTATGTTTCATCTTTTCTGTCATTATTAATGTTGCCCACATTTATAGCAGTCACTTGCCATTTCTTTTCAGCTGCAGTGTCCAGTACAGCTTGTAGTGTCGACAAACCTGGTAAGATAGAAAAATACAATAAAGACTCAACCTCAGATGCATGGCTCTTAGGTTAATTTATTTCCAGGATAGCTCAACAACTAGCTAAGCAAACCAGAATCCCCATTTTTTTTAAAAAAAATAATGAACCAATGGCCACAAATTTCTGGGATCCCTATGAATTTCTGTGCAGTGAAGATGTGAGCTCCTATAACAACATCCATTTGTTTGCACTACAGGTTCATTTTGGAAGAGATTTTATTATTTCTAGGAAGAAGAGTTTCTATGCTACCGTTGGGCATCGTCTCTTGAAAAAAGACCTGTCAGGAGAAAAAATAATACAGCTACACCCGCCGAATCAATAATTAAATGCTACTGAGTTGTTTTTTGGCTTTTGGGCTTGAGAGACAACACATTTAAAGCCTCCTCTTTAAGTTCTGTAAGACTAGTAATAGCTTCTGGAATGTCTAGTAGGCTGTGGAAGAGGACTCACCATCATTGCTCCTCCCAGCACTTTCTCTGGGAGGGGGGTGCCAACTGCAAATTGGTTATAAGATCCCACCCCTTCTGCACTGCATTTATTTTTGTTGAATGGTTGATTTTATGTGAACTCTGTTGAATTTTTGATTTTTATCCCGTTTTAACCATTTTCTCTCTCTTTCCCCCCCCAACTAAAATCCCCCCGAAAGTGTTTGTTGTAAGCCACTTTGAGCACAATTCAGTGTGGAAAAGCAGCACTAAACTAAAGCTTTTGATCTTTCTTTTGTTCCTTCTCTCTCACCCATTACCAAGATATGGATATGGGGCAATAAATTGTATTTGTTTATGGGACCATGAGAGCATAAGAAGAGCCTGCTGGATCAAGCCAATGGCCCATCAAGTCCAGCATCCTGTTCTCACAGTGGCCAATCAGATGTCTGTGGGAAATCTGCAAGCATTACTGGAGCACAAGGGCACTCTTCCCTCCTGTGGTTTCCAGCAACTGGCATTGAGAAGCATTGCTGCCTCCAGCTGTGGAAGCAGAGCACAGCCAGCATGGCTAGTGGCCATTGATAGCCATCTCCTTCATGAAATTGTCTAATCCTCTTTTCAAGCCATCTAGGTTGCTGGGCATCATTGCCTCTTGTGGAAGTGAGTTCCACTATTTAACTATGCACTGTGTGAAGAAGTCCTGTCTTTTCTCTTTACTGGATCTTCCAGCAATCACCTTCATTGGATGTCCATGAGCTATGAGCTTCTATCTCTTCGCCTTCTCTATGCCATGTACCATTTTATGAACTTCTCGTCTTCCTCTGACTAAAAAGTCCCAAATGCTGCAACATTTCCTCATTCAGGTTTTCTTATTTGGAACCTTTTCCAGCTCTACAATATCCTTTTCGAGATGATGCAACTAGAGCTGTACACAATATTTCTTCACCGCCTCTATTGCATCTGCAGAAAATAGTAGCAGGAGACTCTTTCAGGTGGTTTGCAATTTAACGGAACCACCTTTACCACCAGGGCCTTGTAAAGACCCCAAGATCTCCTGCAACGATTTTGCAAAGCTTTTTGCAGATAAAATCACTCATATTCGGAAGGAGCTAGACACCACCGTGGGAGCAGGGCCGGGGCGGGAGAGTGCTAGAGCTCTGTCTGGTCAAGTTGCATGGAATCAATTTCAATCCGTTACCCCCGAGGATGTGGACAGGCTGCTTGGACGCGTGAAAGCAACCACCTGTCTCCTTGATCCTTGCCCATCCTGGCTAATAAAAGCAAGCCGGGAAGGGCTGGGCGATGGGCTCTGTGGGGTGGTAAACGCTTCCCTCTGTGAGGGAACATTCCCAGATCCGCTGAAAGAGGCGGTCATTAAACCGCTTCTTAAAAAACCATCTTTAGACCCGGCCAGTATGGCCAACTATCGCCCAGTCTCAAATCTTCCATTCTTGGGCAAGGTGATTGAGCACGTGGTTGATGAACAACTCCAGGCACACCTGGAGGATGCGGACCATTTGGATCCCTTCCAATCGGGATTCAGGCCTCACCATGGGACTGAAACCGCCTTGGTCGCGCTGGTTGATGATCTCCAGCGAGTTAGGGACAAAGGTGAGAGTTGTTTCCTGGTTCTGCTGGATCTCTCAGCGGCCTTTAACACAACTGACCATAACATCCTTCTGGACCGTCTAGAGGGGCTGGGAGCTGGGGGCACTGTTATACAGTGGTTTCGCTCCTTCCTCCTGGGACGTGTTCAGAAAGTGGTGGTGGGGGATGAGTGTTCAGACCCCTGGGCCCTCACTTGTGGGGTGCCTCAGGGTTCCGTCCTCTCCCCCATGCTTTTTAACATCTATATGAAGCCGCTGGGAGAGATCATCGGGGGTTTGGACTGGGTGTCCATCAATATGCAGATGATACCCAGCTCTACCTCTCTTTCAAATCAGAACCAGTGAAGGCGGTGAAGGTCCTGTGTGAGTGCCTGGAGGCGGTTGGAGGACAGATGGCAGCTAATGGATTGAAGTTGAATCCTGACAAGACAGAAGTATTGTTTTTGGGGGACAGGGGGCCGGTTGGTGTGGAGGACTCCCTGGTCCTGAATAGGGTAACTGTGCCCCTGAAGGACCAGGTGCGCAGCCTGGGAGTCATTTTGGACTCACAGCTGTCCATGGAGGCGCAGGTCAATTCTGTATCCAGGGCAGCTGTCTACCAACTCCACCTGGTACGCAGGCTGAGACCCTACCTGCCCGCGGACTGTCTCGCCAGAGTGGTGAATGCTCTAGTTATCTCCCGCTTGGACTATTGCAATGCGCTCTATGTGGGGCTACCTTTGAAGGTGACTCGGAAACTACAACTAATCCAGAATGCAGCAGCTAGACTGGTGACTGGGGGCGGCCGCCGAGACCACATAACACCGGTCTTGAAAGACCTACATTGGCTCCCAGTACGTTTCCGAGCACAATTCAAAGTGCTGGTGTTGACCTTTAAAGCCCTAAACGGCCTCGGCCCAGTATACCTGAAGGAGCGTCTCCACCCCCATCGTTCTGCCCGGACGCTGAGGTCCAGCGCCAGAGGGCCTTCTGGCGGTTCCCTCATTGCGAGAAGCAAAGCTACAGGGAACCAGGCAGAGGGCCTTCTCGGTAGTGGCACCCGCCCTGTGGAACACCCTCCCATCAGATGTCAAAGCGATAAATAACTACCTGACATTTAGAAGACATCTTAAGGCAGCCCTGATCAGGGAAGTTTTTAATCTGTGATATTTTACTGTATTTTTGGTTTCTATGGAAGCCGCCCAGAGTGGCTGGGGAAACCCAGCCAGATGGGCGGGGTACAAATAAATTATTATTATTATTATTATTATTATTGCCAGGGTGGCCGCAACATAGATTTTTATAACAGTTTTATGATATCAGCACTTTTATTTTCAATTCCTAATGATCCCTATCATTAAATTTGCCTTTTGTTCCAGCTGCTGCACACTGGGTCAACCTCTGCATTGAGCTACTATGACCCCAAGCTTTTGTTTCTAGTCCATCATTACCAGTTCAGATCCCAGACTCTAGTCCAACACTCTAGCCTCTTGCTTTTGCAGACTCTCCAAGTGTCCCTATTTTCCAGGGACATCCCTGATTTAGAGAAGCTGTCCCAGTTTCTGATTTGATTCCGGAAGGTTCTGCTTTTCCTTAGGACATCCCTATTTTCATTGGATAAATGTTGGAGGGTGTGGTAGGATGCCCCTATTTTCACTGGGGATATGGAGTTATCTGACCCCCCAAGCTGTCTGAAGGCAATCTTGAATATGGAAGCATTTTTAAATATTTTAAATGTTTACTGTTTTATTGTCTTTTTAATATATGTTGGAAGCTACCCAGAGAGGCTGGGGAAACCCAGTAAGATGTGTGGGGTATAAATTATCATTATGGAATGGGACATCCCTATTTTCATTGGAGAAATGTTGGAGGGTATGCTTTTGCCATCAGTTTCTATGTGCAGGCAGAGTTGAGTGGCTGCTCAGCCCCACCCTAATCTTCCCCTTGCTCCTTTTAAACTTTTTCTTGTGTGTTCTGTGTTACACAATTCCTGATTACCTACAATACATAGAAAAAGAAAAGGCCATGGATCAAAATGCTGAAAAAACAAAAACCCAGGCTATCCTGCAGTGCAGCTACAGTTTTAGAGAGCAGAAGTATTGCAAAGTAACCTTTGAAGAAGCCAGCAAATTGTTCCGCTTGTTAAACACTATAGAAAATGTCAAAAGGGCCAATGTAATCGAACAAGTTAATTACTTCTGGAGTGTGGAGAGGACCCCCTAAGGTTTTTAAAAATTCCTTGTACTGTATATGGTTCCTGCTACTACTGCACATGTCCATGTTGACACTATACTATCCAAAGTGGTGGATTGAGCGGAACAGGGAATCTAATTTAATGAGCCTCCTTTCTAATATGTTAAATGTTGAGCTCCTAATTTGGAACAAGGGAAAACACTCCTGAACTTCAAGTACCCATAATGAGACTGCCTGGTGAGGAAAGTAATCTGTCAAAGGGGATGAGAAAATTATGTGAAATGTCAAAGTGATGTTTTATTTCCATAAATAAATAAATAAATAAATAACCAGAGGAATCAACTGTATCATGGAATCTCTAAAATCCTACTTTTCCATCAGAGATCCTGACTGCTATCCCCAGCTGCTAAAGTGAAGAGAAAATGGACAGGAAGGAATCTATAGAAAAGTTAATGTTCAGTACAAAAACATGACTGACAGCTTAACAGGCAGTTATGGACCTAAAAATGGGCAAAATTTGCAAAAATGGGACCAAAGTCTGAGAATTTGAGCTTTCATGTTTTGAAAAGTTTCCAGGTCTCAAGGTTTTGAAATGTCTGTAAACATCCAAACATGGACCACAAATAAAGGTTTAAGTAAGTACACTGAAACATTATAGGGATGTGTTCAAGGCGCTTTCTTACATGCCGAATAGCTACTCTCCTAAAAACACTATTTTGAGTAAGGAATACATCTGGAATCTGACTAAAATGAACCTTTAACAATATTCTATCCCACTTATTTTTCCAGAGACTCGAGGTATTTAAAAAAGAGTAATAAAAACAAAGTAAAACAAATACAATCCCTAAAAAAAGACAACATATTTACACTTACATTAATGAGTTAACAATGCCAACCAACCTAGTTAACAAATTCCAGCAGTACAAAAATAATCATATTTAGACAAAGTCTTTGTTTTTACAAAGCCAGGCTTTACCAAGCACCTGAATCAATGAAATTCATTTGCCAAGAACCCTTGGTTCAGCCCCAAAATTTCAAAAATTATCTCTGCTTGCACCCTGTTGCACCTTCTTTGTTTATTCTGCAGAGGTTTATCTTCCTTTTGCTTCTTTTCCTTTGTCTCCTATTAGACAGGTCCCTTAAAAGTAATTATTGCCAATTAAAAATTTTCAGCTGTCCGATTCTTGTGTCTCTTCACTTCTAACGCCTTTAACAGGTAAGTCCAGCATTTCTGGTTTGTCCCAGTTAATGAGATTTATTTTCTTCTAGGAGGCTGAAAACAAGAGACATGAGTTTCTGGCACTTGTACAAGCCTTTTTAGTGTGACAGCAGGCAGAAATGTGTGTCAAGGGCCCTTTAAAAGTGTCTTATGGCTTGGCAAAGCTCTTTAATGAGGCAATGAGGCATTTTGGGAATTGTAGTTCCCAAAGGTGAGCTTGCAAAATAAACAGGGGCATAAACTTCCTTCCTCCCACAAGGCAGCTGCTTGTGTGTGTGAATGCAAAAAGGGGCTATATGAGCAGAACTAGACATTACAAGCAAACTGATACAATTTAACCCATGGGCCCCTTTAAAAAAAACCCCAAAACCCCAAACCAGAACACCAACTTTGAAGGAGGTGACATGAAGCTGAAAAGTGTGCATGTATGCCCCACTTGACACTTTTCCATTCCCAAACTCCTCTAAGCAGTTTCCCTCAACTATAGCCTTCTCTAATAGGGGAAAGCAGCTGTGTTGGGGAAGGAGCAGACTAAAAATCTCACAAAGAAACAGTGCTGGATAAAGAAAGATCTCTCCTTTCCTCCCTCCCTCCTCCCCCTCTCTTTCACACACACACACACACACACACACACACACACAGATCTTTCTTCACCCATCACTTTTTTTGCAAGATTTCTAGTGTGGGAAAAGACAATTTGAATTAGACCCAGCTTACACTTGTGCATAATGTATCATTCAGCCCTTAATAAAGACAAAGCTTGTAAAATGGCTTTCAGGGATATTTACAGGAAGAACGCAGACAATAGAGACTAGTTAAATGTCACTTTGCAGTGTTGCAAGCAAGCCTATCAAGATAAGAACTTTGCAGGAGAAGAACTTTCACTTCCCTATGCCTCAGTTTCCACAACAGAAAAATAATCCGTGGGCAACAGAACGAATCCAAGCCATAACTCACTGCTGCTTCTGCAGTGGTTTAATGTCACAATATTGTCAAAGGCAATTCCTGTTAAATGGTCTTGTAAGGAGAATGGCTTCATTTCTGCAGAATCATTAGTGGCCTGTGCAATCTATGGTTAGAAGGCTTTCGTAAACACCAAAAGACCCTGAACACTTTTGTATGAGAAAGTCAAAAGTTTCCTCAAGAGGATGAACTGTTAATGCTCATGGTATTTTGCGTGTCGAGGTCCCCAGGGCCACCCCAATAACTCACACATCACACAGAATTTTTTGTTTAAGATTTTTGGCATAATTTTGGCCACAACTTTATTGAAAAACAAATTTGTGAGTGGTTGCTTAGGCATTGGTTGTGACTATCTGCCCCCACCATGGGGGACAGACTGACATTCCGCACAATGCGAAAGTCAGAATAGGGGAATACACTTGGGGGTTACGCGGAGCAGGGAACCTGCCCTCACCCCAAATGCAATCAGGAGCTCATTGCTATGGCCCGAGCCCCCTTGACAGAGTGGACAAGCAATAGTTAGCCCCCAATTCCTTTAATGGAATCCCTTGCAGCAGCAGCATTAGAGGGGCAGGCACTCAACCTACCAAGGGCAGGCACTCAACCACTTCCCCTCAACCAACCAAACCATAAACCAATGCCTAACAGCAATGCCTTACAAGTTGTGACGATTTGCTACGCAGTAGGCAAAAACCAAATGGCCCCAGCCAATCAGCCAGATGGACAAAATTCCTACCAGGCCCCTGCCCCAAGAGCAGATGACCCCATGACAGGCATAGCAAGGTCAAAGCGAACAACCCTAATTCTAGGGAGGGGGGGACAGGCAATCCGATGCACGGTCGAAAAGAGGAAGCCCTAGCCTCATGCAAGGAGTTTTAGCATTTCTGGCTGTCAATCAACAAATGGCAACATTAACTTCTTCCCAACAACAAGGGAAGCCCCAATCGCATCAGTGGCCAACGAACAATTAGCCCGTCCCCAACTTTGGAGTGTCCTGGTGGCCCCCACCGCAACACGTGCTCTCCATGAAGGAGAACACACTTTCTCTAAATATATGCTAATTTAAATTTGCTAGTTGATTAACTTTGATTCAAATCTTTAAAAATAGATCTGAATAGTATAAAAGAAATAAATAACTCACTCACCTACTTAGTGCTGTTTAAGACAGGCTACATTTTAGGACACCACACCAGTTGCAATACATCCCATTCCCTTTACATTGTTGTTGTTTAGTCGTTTAGTCGTGTCCAACTCTTCGTGACCCCGTGGACCAGAGCACACCAGGCACTCCTGTCTTCCACTGCCGCCCGCGGTTTGGTCAAACTCATGTTAGTAGCTTCCAGAACACTGTCCTAATCAGCCATAATTATTCCCCGCCTCCCTGGTCTCACTTCTCATGCTGAAGTAGATAGTACTTCTATGTATGCATATTGGAGGACAACGCTCCCTTTCAGGGACAGCTCCTTACTGAGCACCTTACACAAGGGATCAGGACAAGCAGAGGGGGCTGCTGCTTGAAGGAAATCAGAAATGCTTTTATAGATAAGTACTCTTTTTCAGAGTCTGAACTGAACTGACCATAGCTTCAGCAAGTCAGGAACGACCATCAGATCCACACACTCTCTTCAGCCCCCAATGCTTCCAGCCTTCCCTGGTACACCAGGCTAGTTAGCTTTCCCCTAAAACCCTAATACTAATAAAACACTAGTAGTATTAAACCCTAACATGAATAAATCTGCAATCCCCAGGTAAATTGAAATGCAGATTCTTAATCTTAAGCCACAGCATAGCAAGATGAAAATACATATCCAAACTGGATCTGTATGTGACACTCCCATTCCTTGGCAAACAATGCCTGCCTTCCTCACAAGGCACAACTTGGTCTTTTCCTGTGTAAAGCACAGGATAAACATGGTCTCTACCCCCAGTCAAGTGCCATGTTCTAGAGATGCAGGTGCAGTGGTTGGCTTGGGGCAACAGGCGAGGGAATGGTTGGACGGATAAGTCATAACCTGTGAAGGGTACCTACACAAGGAGAACTGCAGTATGAGGTCCTCTTGAGCTGGGCAAGGCTTTTCACCTTGATACTGCTTACAAACATTGAACAGGGGTATCTGACTTTGCAAGTGTCCCTACCTGACACCTCTAACTGCAACGCAGCAGGAAAGGGGAAGGAGAAACTTTAACAGCAGAATATTGCACACTTTTTTTCCCTTTTTGCCTAGGTTCCCCCCTAGACCCGCCCCCCCAGCCATCTTTTAAAAACATTTTTCTGCCATTAAAAATGCTCTTAGAGGGAGGGAGTTGCAGTGAACTTTCTTCATTTAAGAAAACACTGTCACAGCTTTCCACAGGGATAACGACAAATAAAATTCAATAAGGTTCCAGCTAGTAATATTTTCCATCTTGGTATAGATTGGCGGATGATATGCACCGGGAGCCTACATGACAACTGACCCAGTTTCCCTAGGGAAATTCATACTGTGAAAACCATTACTTTTAAGTGAAAGTCATCTATTACTCTCAAAGGACTGGTTCTAACATAATATTTTCCTCTGCAGGAGTCCTTTTGAAATGACTTGTAGAGATGCACCCATTGATTTATTTATTTTTCCAGGAAGAAAGAAAAAAGACGCATAAGCAATGTCTTGGATCCAGAAGGCAGTTCAGTCTGCTACTTACCATATTACAGCAGTCACCCTTTATCCTTAAGCACCCAAGGCCAGAACTTACAAAACTGTTCTGTTATGCTTGGCACTCTCGGGCTCCTACATCATTTCAGTTAGGTTTGTGGTTCAAAATTAATTTCCGTAAGTTATGAAGAACACCTTACCTCTGTCACTGTCATAGAGATATGCAAACTTGGTCCACTGGTAATATTCAATCAAGCTCAGAAGTGCTCCCTTGAGGTCTGGCCTCATCTGGATGACAAATGGGTGTGTTCCATCTGTTGGGAAGCTGGGTGTTATGAAGGAGACATGAAGTGTTCCACAAAATGATGTGATGGTATTTACAGACTTCTTGTCATAAAATCCAAAAATAGCAAAGACTCCTCTTGAAAACTGGGAGCAAACTGGGAGAAACAAGCAAAAAGAAAACATTTTAGAATGTGAAACTGATTTGCATTTTTTTAAATAGAAAAATGTGCAATTGCCCCCACACCTACAAAGAAGACTTTTAAGACAAAACATTGGGAGAATGGTTGTATTTATTAACATTACAAAATGAGATGAACAGCAAGTCAGATATACCAGATCAACCAAATTCAGAATGTAAGGGCAGGTGAGAAGGGATTGGCTGAGACTGATCAGCAATTTTGCCAAGAAACTGAAGCTATTCAAACAAATCCCTGTAAGAAGTTTCCTCTTTATATCCCCAAATACTTCCATGTTTTCTTCAGTGGCATCCTGATTAATGCCACACATATATGGCATCTGTATGATATGTACATGACATCAGTAAGGGTGGCAATGATGCTTAGGCAAGATCAAGAAGTTCAGCTCCAGGTAACCAAAGATAACTGTTGTCTAAGCAGACATGAAACTGAAAGGCATGCATTTGTGAAGCTTACAACTTCATCAAAGACATTAGAAAAACTGAAATTTCAGTTAACATTCCTTACTCTACTTGTCCTACATAATCTAATTTGCCCTCAATAGTGAAGTTTGTTTGTTAGTTTGTTTGATGATCATCATCATCATCATCTAGCTGGAAAAACATTTGACATATTTTGCACACATTGCTGCTTATTATTGTAGCACCCTTCTAATTTAAATGTGTGCTATTCTTTTTAAACTATCTTTAGAAGTGGCTTGTGAAATGGTTTGATGGGTGACTACTGCCTTCCTCCCTGATCTGCCACAGAATGGGAGGGGGGAGACAAACTGACATCTGTGTAAGGTAGCATGTAGTCTGATCCCAAGGTGCATCCCCCCTGCTATTTAGTCATCTTTCCTATAAAGACCACCTGAGTCCAAATTAGCCATTCACCCTTAGTGATGCTCGGGAAAGTGTCAAATCTGATTGACTCCAGAGTTTCCGTACCATCATTACATCCAGGATGTGATTCTTAATTGCCTAGGTTCACTTAAGAAAGAATGGAACAGAGGTTTTTAAATGGCCACTCAAGCAAAAGGAAGGAAATGACTGTGAACAAACATTCACAAAAAGTTGAATTTAGGATTTTACAAGACTTTCTGACTTCCCTACTTGAAATTGCTGCATTTGAACCAAAAATGTTACCTAGAGAACACATGGCTGATCCATAGCAAACACTTTCTTCCTACTTTCTTTGATCCCACATGACTCTGTTAGGTATTATTTACATGTTCGCTTTTTAGCTTTGCATTGCCTCTTGTGGACTAGCTGATGTTGTGCTATAAAACCTTTCAGCAACTACAACTATTATTTCTATGCATTTATGGAGAAATACTGGTTCACACTAATGCAAAGGACATAAAAACACAAGAGGAGCAGTCTAAGCACTGCCACTTTGTGTTCTAATGCTCTGTTTCATTAAACTTTTAATACCAGCATTATAGGACTCAGCAGAAGAAGGTCCTTCTCCATGGCACCTCAGGTCATGGAACAAGAAGAATAATCTCCTGGGTGTAAATAGAGTGCTGATTGTTTCATTTTTATTACCATCTCAGACAATAAAAGCCTAAACCAATGCTGATCGTTAAAGCCTAGATGAACCATCCCATCTTTTTGGGTCATTCTCTTCAATGACTCTGCAAATGCAGCTTGTTTTCAAGGTGCTAAACAGTCCATAGTTTTATTTACTAGATGAAAAAAAAGTGGACACAATGGTTAAAAAATACTTATGGTTTTAAATCTTGCTGCCACCACATACCCTGATGACTTTTCATCTCTCAGGTGGAGACACTGTTTGTCTAATCAAATTCAGTGGGGCCCCCTAGAGAATGCAGGGACCCCATGTCTCTGTTTTGCTCTGTTGGTTGGCCACACCAAACTGCGATGGCATGTGAAGAACCAACACTGAGTACCTAACTGAAAGCATGTCCTATGCACTTAAATGGTGCACACCCCATACATTTTCCCACCAAACTGGCTTACCCCCTCACTGAGCTACAGTTTCTAGCATCCTTAACAAGCTACGGTTCCCATTAATCATTTTTTTGAGAGGGCAGTGGTTCACCGAACAACTGGTTAGCAAGACTGTTCTGTTGTGCAAAAGATTTTCTAAATAAGATGGGTCTCTGCTGGGTACTTGGCTTTGATTTTTTATTTAAAGGTTTGCTCCCTCACCTGGGCAAGAACCAGTGGTTTAGAAGTAAACTCTTACCACGCAGCCATGTGGATAGCATGATTTAGAATTAATCTAGATTGAAAGCAGCATATTCTGGATAGAGATAGATGACACTTGTGGTACAAATAAGAAAGCTTCTTGCCATCTGCATTTTCCTCACAAAAGAACTAGACAACCATCACAAGGATTAGTTTCTATATATGAAGATTGTGGAGGTTTTATATGTGACTTTTCTAAGCAGAGTATATCCTGAGCCTTCAGCTTCTGCCAGCCTAGGCACATGCTGTGCTGCTGCTTTAAAACTGGGACTGATCAAGTGTTGAGTTTTCCCTGCCGCAGGGCTTTGTAAATCATGGTTTTCCCAGTGAAACTGCGACAACCAGAGCCTCAGGCAGGGCCTTGCCAAGACATTTTGCTACCTGGGGCGGAACAGCATGGTGTTCCTGCTTCCAGGTCAAGGTACATAACACCCAAGGCTGGTTAAGTTATTTTGGAATTTGAAGCAAAAATATAATAATAACCCCCAAAGCACTTCTGCCTCTCACAGCCGTAAAAGAAACAAAACAACAACAACAACAAAAATTGCATAACTAATCATTTGCTACCCTTTCACGACACCCCATATCAGCTGTCTGCGGCAGCCCTCTCACTTTGCCTAATGGCAAGGCCAGCCCTGAGCTGGTGGTCTCCTTAATTGGTTCTAGATAACCCACAAGAAACAAGAGAAAAATTGGCCAAGTGTTGCTTAGCAACAAATTACAGCTCTTTGCTTTCCTCTCTTTCTTCCCCTCTATTTGCTTCGTTACTTGATGACATTCCATTGATTGGCACCACAAGCTCTATTTAGCACATTATGAAGCATATTATTAATACTTACCAATTTCTCTCAGCATTTCTTGATTTGTGTGAGTGTTTTGCCTAAGTAATTGTCAGCAATATAAATCACTATACCCTTCAGCTAGCCATCAGAGTTGTGTATCAATTGAGGCTGTCACTTACAATACAGCTATCTATTTTATTGTTACTAGTGAGATGAATAGTCAGAGAAATATCCCTTTATCATATCAGTTATTGGTCTCTCTCACATTTGGTACAAACCTTTTCTAAATGGACAAATTTCATTATCATGTGTGACTCCTCATATTCACTCATAGAATAAACAACTGAGAGATCACTGTGAGGCAATGACCTCTTGTTGATGCGTTCTTACTAATATTATATAGAAACTGAAGGGAACAAACTGTTGTACAGTGGTACCTTGGTTTATGAACTTAATCCATTCCAGAAGTCCGTTCTTAAACCAAAGCGTTCTTAAACCAAGGTGTGCTTTTCCATAGCAGTGGGGGGCTCAATTTACAACTGGAACACACTCAACAGGAAGTGGAAACATGTTCTGCTACCAAGGCAAAGTTTACAAACTAAACACCTACTTTTGGGTTTGCAGCGTTCTTAATCCAAGTTGTTCATAAACTAACCAAGGTACCACTGTATAGGTTCTCTTGAAACTAGTTCAGGTAATAGATCTTACTGCTAGTATAAATAATAGTGAGTGCATACCTTCACAAAGAAACAAAAGTGTTGGTTTCAAATAACAGGCTGGATGCCATTTGCTACTAACACAGGAGACAGGGAAGGGGACAAAACTGGAATCCATTCTTATTTAAAGGAGAACCAATCCAATTCACACTTTCTGAAACAATACGCAAATCAAAATACACCCATCCTTCAAAGCTCACACTTCTCTGAATATCAGTAATACTGTAAAGAAGTATTATTATCAATATTCAAATGCAAATTTCTGGTTGAATTTGAATCCATCTTAAGTATATCACAGGAAGTTAATATATAAAGTTTTGAGAACACATTTCAGCCCAATGCAACAATGCTTCCTTTAGAGAACAAGTGTTCAACACGCTAAGGAATATTGACCAATAATCACATCTTTGTTAGAAAAGGCCAAGGATAAAAAGCTGCAAGTTGTACTCAAAATGGAGACAAAGAGAAAGCAGCCAGGAAATGAGACCCAACAACTGAATACCTAATTAGTGATTTTGAGAATGGTTCTTCATTTGCTAAAAAAGCCAAGTTAGAAATGTTACAAAGGGACATCAAAAGCAAGCTGCAAACAACAGGGCATGGAGGCGGGGGAAGTATTTCGGAAAAATAAAACAGGAAGAAAACACAGCTGTCAGGCTAAATCCTCTATTGGCAACGGCCTTACAGAATGTGGATTAAAGACCAATGTGCAGTGTTTTCCAAAGCTAGCAACTGTCTGCGGTGAAAAGTGAGCCACAGAAGAGCCTTCTAGAACCTGGTGAATCCTATATTGGCAGAGTAAAAACCCAATAAATGAAAACTAGGGGGAATTATCTACTCTATGCACATTATAGGGTTCCTTTGCTAGTCGTCATATTTCAAAAAGTGAAATATTTTGCATATTTTGTGAAATCGTGTACGTCCGGAAAATTATGGACATATGACAACCCTCCTTCACTCTCGCAACAAGAAACTCAGGGGTCCCCAGGCTCTTTGATTGTCTCCAATTAGCCAACTTATTTTCCTTCTCTCTCCTTCACAGCAAAATTTAACCCCTCTGAGGCAGAGGCAGAGAAAGGTGATCCGGCACCCAGAGCGATGCTCACGGGGCTAGCCGCCCACCGGGGCAGGGCTAGACACCCACGGCGAGCGCCCTGAGGGATGCTGGCTGCTGCGAGTGTCCCGGGGTTGCGCCGGCAACAGCAAGCATCCCGGGGTGTGTGTGGCGTGGCGATGTCACCCCCCCAGGGATGACACCCAAGGCAAGCTGCACCCCACACCCCCTTTCTCCACCAGTGCTCTGAGGCTGCATGCAGTCACCTACACTGTCCTCTTGACTGTCCTGTTTCAGTTTGATATGTTGCTCCACATACCCTGACACAAGGCCCTCCCCCTTCACACAGCATAGCCAAGGTGGTCAAAAGTAGAGCTGCCATATTTCAAAAAGTGAAAATCCAGACACAAAAGTTGTGGATATGGCCCAATATGGGCTGCCATATGCCTGGGTCTCCCCGGACATTTTAGCTGTATAGCAGTCCTATCGAAAGTCACTTCTTTTGCTCCTCTCCCCCTTGCCTAAAAGGTTGCCCACCACTGCCATATGCTAAACAACACATTTCTATCACCAAAAGAAAATCTTCCGTGCAAATAAGAGCACAATTGCCATGCCTAACCTATTGTTTTGCATACTAGTCTTGTACAGAATTGTTTTCAAAGGACACCATAGAAATGGCAAGTTCTGTGCTTTTGTGTTGTATTTCATTTGCCAAATTATCGAAACTCTGCCACAGCTCAATATGATGCTAATGAGTATTACTATGGTTAGTAATGGCAATTGTGCCTAGAATCCTTATAAGCATAGTTGGTCTAGAACTTTATTTAAAAATACTCTGCTAAAAGGACAACCTGAGCCTAACAGCCTCCTCCCACTTTCTCTCCACCGTTTTTCTGGAGAAGTCCCATTCTATTCCTATTCTCTGAATGGGCAATTGGATCATGGTTGTTGTATGCTGAGGATAAAGAAGTTGTGGCTCTTCAACCAACTATTGATTCCAAAACGAGCCAAAGAACTACAGTTTTAAATAGTTCCTGGGCCTATCTCCAAGAATAAAATCAGTTCAGAGTCAGGCATGGGGAGGGGCTGAATTCAATGGTATAGCAAAACCTCTGCCTGCAGAAGGTTCCAGGTTTGAGTCCTAGCACCTCCAGGTAGAAAGACCTCTGTCTGAAACTCTAGAGAGATGCTGAAGCTGTTAGAATTCCTGCTCCATGATTGCAGTCATGGGATTGTTGTCTTTCACATGATGGTATATGTTTTGACTCCACAGAGTGGGATGTGACGGAGACAGGATGTTTGTGTTACTGTGTTCCGTGAAGTGGGACTATTGTCCTTTGTTCATTCTCTTTGCTGTCTGATGCTAGAGAGAGAGGGAGCCATGTTGCAGTGCTCCGTGTGTGTTTATATGTAAATAAAGTAGATTAGCCAAAATGCTGAGTTGCTGAGTTCTGTCATGCAAGCTGCAAAGACTCTGTGGATCCCTAGGTGTGTCGCTGTCTGTTGGCATCAGTCGCTGTGATGTTTGGGCAGACAAAAGCTTTTGAAGCTCCCGAACGATCAACCAGGAGCATGTGTCTCTGCCAGGGTCCTACTCAAGTGTAGGATGAGCTCCTGCCTTAGTCTAAGTCAGATCATTGGTTTCATATATTCCTAAGGCCTCTCACTCAGATGAGAAAATAAGCCAAGGTTGGTAATAACATAAATAGTGAGATATTTAGAAATATCTAGCCACTGATATATCTCTGTGAGAGTGGGATGGTAGCGCAGCTTCTTGTGCAATCTATAACAGCTTTTGCCAATCTGGTGCCCACCAGATTGGGCTCTGTGGTCATGCTGGCTGGAGCTGGTGGAAGTTGTAGAACAAAACATCTGGAGGACACCAGATAACTGAAGAATGATCTGTAGCTATATTAGTACTGAATAGTGCTATTAAAGCTGGTGAGTTTTCAGAATCACGCCCCAGAGAGATAAAAATAAATGCTAATATTCAGTGATGTCAGTCTGATTTCTAACATTCACTGCAGTAATGAGCATAATTACCACGATGCATATTCATGAACAATATACAAAACCACATCATCTGTGGTAAAAATAACAGACGTTATTGAGTTATCAGCTAATCAACTCCAACACAATAAAAGTTTACTCGCAATTTAAATCGGCAAAATCTTCCTAATTAAGACAACTTGATGAACAAGATATTATTGTGATTTAATGGCAGTGCCAATTAAGAGAGGAGGCCATCTAAAAATAAAACCTGTCTTTGAAATTAAAAATGAAAATATATCACTCTACACTAATATGAGTTGAAGGCATAGTGCATGTATTCTTTATTAATTTATTACTTGGTGTTTATTTTAACCATTTGCCATGTAATCTTGAATTTTATACCCTATTGTGTCTAAATATCTATTTCCTTTATTCTAACAGTTTATTTTACATTTTTGCTCACTGGAGTTAGCATGTTTCTAGTTGAATTTAATACATTTTGTTTACCACCACTCACTGCGTGCTCCAGAACTCTGAATGTTCTCCATATCGCACATTTCCTCACTTGGACTGAGAGTAGTTAAGACCATTTGAACAACTGCACATGTTAGAATCATTCAGCTACCCGTTGATGTTACATATATACACAAAGAGACTAACTAAGACCGTCTACTGATGCCAGATCAGAGGTTCAAAGCAAGAAACTACATAGAACAGTGGATTATAATTGATGCAGTTTTACAGAAACTTTTTAGAGGGTAGCCACAATAGTCTACTCTGACTTCAGTGGCTAGTAGCCATGACTGCTATGTTCTACCTTCCCTGGTGGGACGCAACATGCCTCTGAACGCCAGTTGCTGAGAATCACAAGTGGGCAGAGTGCTCTTTCCCATAGGCATCTGTTTGGCCACTATGAGAACAGGATGCTGGGCTAGAAGGGCCTTGGGCCTGATCCAGCAGGGCTCTTCTTAGGTTCTCATGTTCTAGAAGGAAAAACAGCCTCCTTAAATATAGAATGGTCTTTGATATAAAGAATTCTTGCCATATAAAGAGGAAGGGCACAAATTTCACATCACTCAAATAACACACTGCTGCATGCCAATGGTTGTAACAAAGGAAAGGATGCCTATACAGTGGTACCTCCGTTTACGAACTTAATCCATTCCGGAAGTCCGTTCTTAAACCAAAACCGTTCTTAAACTGAGGCACATTTCCCTAAAGAGGCCTCCCGCTGCTGGTGCCATTCCATTGTTGCGGAGTTCATAAATCGAAGAGTTCGTAAGCAGGGCTGCTCTTAAACCGAGGTACCACTGTACTAGCCTTCTGGAAACAGAAGAGGTGAATCAAAAACTCTTTGCTCTAACAAGGAAAGAGGTTGGATGCTACACTTGCATACTCACTGCAGATCCTGCACTGACGTTGAACTAGATGGCCTTTGTAAGGAATGAAAATGTCACTTTTTCATAAGAGGTCAAAAGGCCTCAGACAGTTGCAATACCAGAATAGAAGGTTGCATCAGCTAGAAAACCATAGGCTCGCTTGGCGGCTTATCTTTACTGGCTTGGGATCAGAACACCCAAAAACAGGGTGCCTTGCTGCTAGAATGTGGTTTATCTAGACACCTCAGCAGGCTTTGGCAGGGTAGGACTCGTGCATGCCTAAAGGGTGGTCGGGATGTGGCTTTATCACTGGGGTAAATATGTGAGAGCATAGGAACATGCTTCTTGATTTGGGCAAAAATAATTAAGAGTGATGGTCCCTGAATTCAGAGGGATGGGAGAAGTCAACAGGGGTGGAGAGTTCAATATTTTAATTAGGCAATCATGATAGGCTGTAAGCCCTGTGCACCTCCAGCCAATGGGGGACAGGGGAGGGAACTTTTCACTCAGAGTTGGAGATATATGCCTGTGTTTTTCTGAATTTGGATGTGCCTGCTTTGCGGACACCTATCCTTACAAGAATGTGTAATCAATAAACTCTTTGCTACTTCACCAACTTTGCTCAGATTTTATTTTAAGGGTCCCAAGATTCTGAGTCTTGGATCAGTGTTTTATATCCAACAGCCTTCAAGTTCCCTTCCAATTCTATGATTACATGAGTCTCATTGGAAACAAAACACATGTCTAGTAATAGAAATGTTGCCTGAAAGCCAGAGGAGAAATGGAAAGTGAAAACAATGCTAAGGTTATGAAATATTTGAGGCCATTTCCGGGTCACTTCAAATCACACCTATTTTTTCTTCTTCATTAATTTTCACTTATGAGGCAGAACTTGTATGCTGATTGGATCGAGGCACCCTAACGCTAGAGTGGAAAGAAATTGTGCTGGTGTTTCAGGAAGTGAAATAGATCAGGAAGGCATACACAAATTCGTCCAGGACTAGTTTCAAGGGAGCTCTCTATTAGGGTAGTAAATGCTTCTGTGCTAAGGGAATCTAAGGTGGATAAGATGCATGACTGCATTGCTTGTTAAGAGATATTGCTTATAAACCCCAAAGTTTAAGAAAAATCATCACGAACAACAGTTTTTCTTAAGCACCACCAGTCCCAAAGGGTGCGCCATTTGAAAAAACCTGAGTAAAACTGACAGGACTGTCATAAAAGTAGCTACTGCATGTATGACACTGGTGATTTGTTTTTACAAACGAGGCTCTCCCTACCAGAAGGATTTGTTCTCATGTTTTATGAGGTTATGATCATTTAAAGGAGATAAGCATCCATTATGATATTGACAAAAGTTATTTGGTAAACAGAATCTTGGCAATGGCAAGCAAATGCTATAATCTGCAAATATATTTCCCAGCAGGGCCTGCCAGCAAATACAGCCTTTCAGGCATTTCTGGATAGCTGTATGAAAATCAGCTTTCCTGAAATCCAAACTGCACATTTCTCTATGTCCATCTTTAGCTTTCCATAAGAGCATGAATTCTAGCATTATACCTTGATTGCCCCCAAAAGTTCCAATACTCTAACTCTAACCTAATTTAATCTTCTTCTTATTTATTAATTAATTTATTTATTATTATTACTTGTTTTTGTAATAAGGAACGGAAAACAGAAAACTGCTGATTTCAATAAGTACTTTGTCAAACACAAGAACAAGCTAAGCTTTAAATGAGTTCTAAGAACTTGGCAAAAATGTTCATGTGCTGGTAAATAATTTGTGATTAGAATATACGGCTGCAAATATTTTTCCTGTAAACCCAGGCCACTTTAGGACACACCTATATAAACCCTGTGCACAGAAGCTGGTGTGCAAGTAAGGCAGGTAGTTCCCAGTCTATATTTTCTTTGCCCTGGGGAAAAAGCTGAGTTCAGAATTCAGCTTTCAAATAATTCCAGATTTCATTTTGTGTTTGTCTCTTAAGGCAAGCTCCCAGCCCTCACTACCACAAATGTACAATTGAAAATGTGTGGGTAATATCAGCCGGAATTCTGAAACCCAGAGATTTGCTTTTGGGAAAGGGGAAAAGTTTGCATACCCAAGCCCTTGACCCTCCCCATGTGGAACAAAGCCAAATTCAATCATGGAGATTTTTTGTTTTTTTAAAAAGTGAGCTAGTTTGTATAAAAATAGAGAAAATTAAGCAAACCTGAATGATTTGCACATAATTCAGCTTTCCTTGGTTCAGAATTTAGACAAATGTATTGTAAGGCACATCTTTCTTTACTTAGCATATCGTTTTAACACCACTTGCTAAACCACTGTAAATATGGAAACAATCCAGCCAAAGGAAAGTGTTTTTAAAGACTATTTATTTCATTTGAAAGGACTTAAGCACATAGTTGTCTCTCAGTTTGATATCAAAGTAGTTTGCTTTGGCAGGATTGTGTCCATAAAAATTTAGCAGGTAAAACAAAAGAGACGGTCATTGTGCTATATTTTTGTTTAAAAACCAAAAACATAGATTACCAAGCATATTATGTTCCACAGATACTTCATGGATGATCATATTCACTGTTCAGTTGAACACAGAATAAGATATAATACGATCACTTCAATCATGGTATACGCAGCAGCAAGAGTTAGACAAACTGCAATAACACTGATCAGCTGTCTCATTAATCAGAGGAAGTATGAATTTCAGCTTTGTACTTCTCTTCTGAAGAGCTTGCTTTCTGACTTAGCATTGCTAACACATCTTGCTGCCATGTCAGACTAGGAACCATGCATCTTCAGCACCCATTTGCACACACAATTTTTCACCCAGTGGAGTAAGGGATATGACATAGCTGTCAACGTTTCCCTTTTTAAAAAGGAAATTCCCATATTCCAAATAGGATTCCTCGCAAGAAAAGGGAAAAGTTGGCAGCTATGGGATATGAATTTTGAAGCCAACTTCAGCTCAAATATGCTCTCCCGGCTGTATTTGGTTGTATATATTTATTGCTTGAATTATCAAAAAAAAGAGAGAAAGATATTCTTTCTCAGAATTAGTTTCATTACAATTGCCACTAATCAAGCATAAAGGAAAATCAAAGGCAGATTTGGGGATTCCTTGTCAAGCAAAACACTTGGGAGTTTTTTGCTGGAAGCTAAAACAAGAAACAAGAGATTTGACATACAAGTCTATGCTCTGGATGTATAAAGTCAAAGAGAAAGAGCAATGCTTGATAAATGAAAAATAGGGCAAGTATTAGAGACTTCCACACACCGTGCATCTGTTTCCCAATCTGGAAAATCCAAATAAAAGAATCCAACTAAGGGCTAGTACAAATGTAAGTATGTACCACCTGTAGGCATGTAGAAGAAATTTTTAAGTTTTAATGTGCATCTACATCATTTACACTTACTGAAACAATACACTATCCCAAAACAAAGTTATCATTTGAAATTTGCACTTCTCTGAATTTTGCAGTGCAGTTCTTCAACCAAACAGTGCTATAAAAAATGTGTATATTTCTGGAAAGTATATCATGAAACTAGCATACAAAAAGTATTAGGTGAAATTGCATATCAAAATATGGATGCTGGAGAAAATGCATACTAAAAAGAAACTGAAATTGATGATTGGCAACTGAAAGTGTGAATTGACTCCACTGCAAAGAATTGAGTTTGAGCTGATGTGAAATGATAGGAAAGGTTTTTCTGGAGAGTTGGACCTGCAATTGTCCATTCATGCTGGTGAGAAATTAGTGGTTGTTGTTGTTAGGGTAGAACATGCATGTATGAAAAGACTACTAGTTGTGATCTAGTTCTGCGAAATAGTCTGTCCTGATCTATCTTACAGGACTGTTACTACAATAAATTACTGAGATAATAACCTTGTTGGCTCCACAGAGCAGAAGCCTATCAACATCTGCCAGCAGGTCTGTCAAAATCCCTTTTGCTCCACTCTTAAAAGAGAGCCGGGGTGGAGAGCTTTGCAAAAGCCTTTGCATGCCTCCTCTCTTAAACATCAGAGCAAGATAGAGACTAAAAAGGGAAGGGGGGTTGCCTCCTCCCTCTTTCCCCTGAAGACTCTGAGACTGGAAAATTAGAAGGGAAGAGGGAGGGTACTTGCAAGTGTCCCTCCTTCTCTCTTAATGCCCCAATATTGTGCCAGTCTTGTGTGATCTTAATGACTCACAAAAGCTTGCAAATGCTTTTCTATTACTACCATCATCAAGGAAACAAAACCAAGGATCTTTGAGTTCCTCCACCATATGACAGGTTTACCCAAACACTACTGACAAATATTTTTTAATTAATAATTAATTTCTTAAATTTGTTAGTCATTTTATCTTGCCCAAGGCAACCCAAAGCAACTTACAACCAAACCAAAATAATCTAATCTATCAAGTATGAAAATCTATACCACAGATGTTGATCCTGGAATATATGAATAAGCAAGTTCATAACAATTTAATATACAAGTAGCCAAGAGTCCGGTAAGTCGTTTTGGTGAAAGTGGGGTTATATCAAGCAACTCCATTAAATTGAAAGCTGTAAGGTAGCACATCTTCCCAATTTGTGAGCATTATAACACAAGTGGAGGAGCTCTATGACCTTGTTTATGTAAATTTAAGTATTGTCAGCATTCCTTGACAAATCTAAATGACAAGTATGAAAGTCAAATGTTTAGCAAGTATATGCTAACTACCTTAGGCAAAGTACAACACAAAATATTATTCATCCTTTCAGTAGAAAAGCAACTTGATTGGTATTTGCTTACCCACATAAAGCTATTGCATTTCAAATTTAATTTTAGATACGGTATGATAGAATGAATAATAATAATAATAATAATAATAATAATTTATTATTTATACCCTGCCCATCTGGCTGGGCTTCCCCGGCCACTCTGGGCGGCTTCCAAAAGAATATTAAAATACTATAATACATCAAACATTAAAAGCTTCCCGAAACAGGGCTGCCTTCAGATGTCTTCTAATAGTACTAGAAGAGTATTTTGACTAAAGCTTAATTTTTACAGTAGAATAAAAGGGACATTTTTATGTAAATGAAGAGGCAGACCACTGGGTTTAACTTGAATTGCCATTATTTTTACAATGTTATAGTCCACTCTGTAGTCCAAACACAAGGTGGTTAACATCTGCCTATCAAATTCATACTCAGCTCCATGGAACAGGTGAACTCTTCTTCCCATTTTGTTGTACCACATGAATTACCCAAGGTCTTATATCCTATCCTAGGCATCTTGATCACTTCTGTATCCAGTTTTATTCCTCCCAGGACCTTAAGAGAATCATAGAAGAAGCAAGGAGCCTTCTTCAGGTAGAAGGCCATATTCCTTCTGAGCAACATCCTGGTAGCCTGTGAGCGGGTGGCACCAGAATCAAAACTGAGTTATGAAGGTGAATCTTCTTTATGTATAGGACACTACATTCCAGCCACACACAACAGAGGTTTCTACACACACACACACACACACACACACACACACAGCAAGCAAGAGGCATTAAAGGACACATTCCAATCAGGCAAAATCATTCACAGAGGAGAGTGGGGTTATGGCTTAGGATGTTTTGGGACTACAACTCCCATGATCCCTAGTTAACAGGACCAGTGGTCAGGAATGATGGGAATTGTAGCCCCAAAACATCTGGAAGGCTGAGTTTGCCTATGCCTGGCTTAGGACCAGGTACAAGGGCCAGGTGACGAGACCATGAGCCACATTCAGCCGCTGGACATGAGACTTCCCACCTCCACACTACAGGAAACAGGTAATGGGGTGAGATTTAACCACACACTCAGCAAGCATCTCTAAGGAGCGCAAGCTGTAGCTGGGGAATGGCACAATTTTAGTTACATCCAATGAAATCATTTTGTGGCTGGAACAATGCCCACATACAGCACAGAAATTCATGTCCCTCTCCTCCCCTGCTCCCACAAAAATCTGGTCTATGGTTTCTCCCAACCCTCTGGGACAGATCTGAAGCAAGGTGCACAAGGAGAGAAGAGGCAGATAGCACAATGATTGTACTGGATTCAACTGGGGATGAGTGAATTTTGGTTCGCTACATTTCTCCTTTTTTCAATGTTAACTTTAGTTCTCCACAGTTTCACACCAATTTCTGATTATTATTATTTTTTTAAAAAACACCAAATCATCATGAAAATTTGTCAGCATCTTAGTGCAGCTTTGCACATAGTTTTCAACTAATATATACCTTTTTTTTTTTGCAAATAGTACTCACTGATATAATACATGGTTTGTATGCAATTTCACTTGTTTATGCCTTTCTATGCACATTTCCCACAAAATTATGCATTTTTGTACATATTGTTTGGCTGGCTGGAGAACTGCGATGCAAAATTTGGATGATGGTGAATTTTGAAGAATACCTGTATTGGTTTGAGAAGTGTGAATTAATTAGTTTCTCATTAGAATACAAACAAAATTGAATTTCTCCTCCATCCCTAGTTTTAACCTCATATTATTATGAAGTTGGAAGGGACCCTAGTGGCCACATCTCCAGCACGCACAATAAGATGGCCATCTAGCCTCTGCTTAAATACCTCAACTTGATATTGCTTTCATTGTGCAGCAAATCTGCACCTGTGAACTCTCCTTCATTGGGCTTGAGGAGGCTCGTACAGTTACTTCTTGCCTAGGAATGCTCCTTATTCTAAAATTTGACAACCTCAGATGAATACATCTTGAAGAAGCAGCTTCGCTTTGATACAGATCCCTTAAATAACTTCCTTTGAAGTGGGAAGCTCGACATGTATTATTTCCTATTAGGCTATAATTACAACCAAGTTAAAAGGAAACCTCTTTCAAAGGTGAATCATACAATTATTATTATTATTATTTTAAAAAGGTGTCATCTTTCCCCAAAGTTGTCAGTAACTAGGATGTCTGGCTCCTCTGGAAATTTAAATTAGCCAAGTGAATGACAGCAGGTGGAAGATTTGTTCTTTTCCCAATACAGACATTATTTTTCGAAGAGGTCTGTCACTCACTGGGGGCCAACACACAAACACTTCAAGGGCTACAGCCTTTTATTTCATTTGCTAACAATAAATGGCTTCCATCTACTGCCTGAGAAAAACACTTAACCAGTGTAAAGAGATAATGTCACCTGTTTTGTATTGCTAGGTAACTAGCTTTTGGCCTCCTGTATTTACTGTAAAAATTCAGATTGTAAGCTTTAATCAGCTTACTTAGGAGATTAATCAATTAAGAGCACAATGCCTATTTATTCAGAAGTTAATTTTCACCATACTCAATGGATTACAATCCTCAGCATGTTTACTTGGGAGTAAGTCTCATCAAGCTAAATACAATTTATTTCTGAGTAAACCTGCTCTAGAGCATCGCTATAGCCAGCCCATCTGACGGGGCCAGCTGTATGAGTTATGATCACACTTGTTCATTTTTAAGCCATTTGGTTTGTCTTGTTTTTCTGAAACAGAAAATATAGAAGATAATGTGGGTGGATTATTGCTTTGTTTGTTACTATGTTATATATTTTCGTATTTTTATATTGTAAACCACCCTGTGGTCCTCAGATGAAGGCCAGTATAGAAATTAAATTAGATAAATACATAAATAATAAAAATAGAAATAAAAGAATAGCCTTGACTTGAAACGATGAAACAGTTAAAAGGTGTTACAGTTAACATGTCTACTCAGAACTCAATCCCACTGAGTTCAATGGCGTTTTCTATATGTCAGTATAGAAACGCACCCTAAAATCGGTCAACTTCTTATTGTTATTCTGTTGGCAGTTTTTGCTTAACATCAGTTCAGCTTATCACACTTTTTATACATTTGCCATGTGATCCTTTTAAATAATTTTTGACAGTCCTATTCAAATTTCTATATATTTATAAATAAATAAATGCAGGTGTCTTCTAAAAACACAAATTATTCTTCCCCTACATTGACACCCTACCTATAATGAGCCTGTGCCAGCACTTTTAAATTACATGGATTTCAGTGGAAGAGATGAAATCATCCATGAATATCTCCCCCACTGTACTCAGACTGAACTCAAAGGTACTTAGCATTAGCTGGATCATGCCCAACATGCTTTATTATCATTTTTGTGGGCCAAGCCAGCTGTTCTTATTAATCTTCATCCTCTTTCATATATGCTACCTGCTAGCACAATTACAGCTGCTGTTGCCTGCCCTGGAGAAAGAGGAAACCACCTTACGCATTTCATAAGGCACAGAAGGCACAGGAGGTCAATGCCTTGGTCACTCGGTCAAGGGCAAAAGGGAGTTGCAATTATACTCCGCAGAGAGTAATAGCAAGAGACTGCTGAAGGGCAATGTGTAATCAGCAGAACGGCCAAAGGGATAAACTTATATAAACTCTCAGCAATTTGATTTTGCCCAGTGCTACATGCCACAATGAATCCTCCATAGTTCTTTTGCTTATCAAAAAGCACGCTGTGCATTTTGAAGCATCAAACAATATTTTGTCAGTTCCTATTGAATGACAGACAGATGGTAGGAGTGGTGGGAATGAAGCTTAAGTCAGGGGAGCTTGAAGGGCGAGGTCCAGTTTAAACAGCTTCATTCAAGTTGCACCCTGGCCTTTTGTGCGTGGACTCAATTTACCTCATATTAAGGGTTCACGCTCCCCACCCTCACCTCTGTCAGCCTGCTAGCTAGTCCTGCCTCCTTTCCTTCCTGTAAACTTACCAGAGAGCAACAAGGTCACTGAATGCCTGCCTCCATCACAACACTTGAAACCACAAGAAGCTCTGGTAAATGCCGTTCTCTGACATCCCTGAGCTCATACTATGGAGTTGGCAGCCGTCAAGATCTCAGTTTCCAAATGCTGCTTACTCCCGGGGTTCTGCTTGAGCAAAGTTTTAAGTGCTTGGAAGAGGGAGGCAGAGGCTGTCACCCCATCAAAATGACAGGTAATTTATAAAAGAAGAAGGGAGTGGTGATGGCAGTCGTCATGGTAGGACAGTGCCACAGAGCCACTCTCTTGACAGTGGTGTGGCTACTTACCTGTATGGTGTGTGGCTGGGGATGCACAAGCACAATAGCAGAGCCAATTGGGCACTCCTGCCAATATGACCTCACAGTCCAATCTTGTTTCTGACTCAACCCACACCATCCGAGGAAGCTACAACAATGCAGTTCTTAGGAGAGTGGCTCCATGGCTCTACCCTACTACAGGTGCTACTCATAAGAGCAGGCTCTGGATTTTTATCTGGATAGGCAAACTGAGGCCAGTCACTTCATCCATTCTTTTCTTTTTTGCAAGCACACAAGGTTTTATTTTAAGGAATCACAACAATCACAAAAACGAGTGGAAACTGAGGGCAAGCTGGGTTCACAATGCACTAATATTTGGGGCCAGGTTTCTGAAATGAACCCATCACTAAGTAAATCTGGCAACTCTGGACCTCATGCATTTTAACTTGATGGATGTACAATATCTAAATGCAGGGTTTTATTTTCTTCTGATTGGGATATCTAAGAAAACATTCAACATAGTACTGCTTTGTTTGGCAGGGACACGGTGTCTCATTCATCAATGAGATTCTTGTGTCGATCTTGTGTCCCAAAATCAAATTCCACACAAACTTTGAAGGGAGGGGGATAAAAATATTTTGAGCTTTGATATATATATTTCCCAGGGTTATACCTGCCATTTCTTATGTCACAGGACTGCTGCACAATGTATGCACATGTCTAGTTTGCTGCCTCTTCTCCATAATGTCTACTGAAACATGTGACATGATGTCATTACACTCACGAGTTTCTTCACCATTGTCAATGACACCCAGTGATGTAGATTGGTGTGTTCACAGCATAACGTCACAGCACTCATGGAGTTTCATTAGACATCATGGGGGAACTGAACAGAATTATACACGAGGACTGCATCTGTTATAGCTTATTCCACTCTTGTTTCATAATTCTGTACATGTCTATGCATGAGTCCAATGGAACTTACTCCCAAGCATATGATTACAGCCTTAGCATCTTCTGGAGGCAAGCATAATGCCAAATTCAGCACCTCATCTAGAAAACAATCTGGATATAAGCCAGGATACAGAGTGGCAATAAGGAATGCTAGCGCTCAGAGGCACCAGTGTCTCAGGATGATTGAGGGGGTCCGATACGACGTCCTGGCGTTGCACAACGTCCTGGCATTACAAGTAGCCAGTGGGCAGAGCAGAATGTCTTCTGAACATTGAGGGAGCTCAGGCCCCTAGAAAAAATAATTGGGAGTCAAAAGTGCTTCGGCCCCAAGGAGCCAGCACCTATGCTATTGCTGAAATTTAATCTCCTGTTATCAATGCATGGAGAATGAACATTCATGGAGACACCTTGGATTTCTCCTTAAATTCTCATTGCTGATTAGGATAAATGGACAAAATTAAAGTGAAATAATGTTAACCAGCAATAATCATTTGAGAGCCTTCTTCATGTACCACTTCCATGGGATGTCTGGCAGCATGAAATGGGCCCTTTCAGTGATTGTGCACCACTTACGGAATGTTTTCCCCAGGGAGGCACACATGAAGGTGATGCATGGTCCTAATGAAAGTACAGTATATTGCCCAGCTGTGCATTTTAAAGGATCTCAGGATTAATGTTTTCTCTCCTACACACTGTAATAAAAAAATAATAATCCCAGGTTTTTGTTTGACCTTCCTTTACGATGTATAAGATCCGTTCCTCTTTCACAACACAAAGTGAAAGAACGTTCATATTGATCTAGACTCTTTCCCAGTTCAGTTAGACAGATCCTAGTGCCCTTCTTGGCTGGCATGCAAGGAATTCTCCTTAGGATAGTTGTTGGGTATCTATGCTGATGTTGTCTAATGGGGCCAAATGCAAAGTATCACATTTAACCAGCTGAGGCAAAAAACAGCTGGTCCTCGTGCCAAAATGCAAACTGTTTTTCAAATAGCTTTCAGCTTTGAAACAACACTATATGTGCACTCAGGCTGCTTAACAAAAACAAGTGTAAAACAAGTCCCCCTAGAAGCTCGTTTCACAAGTTTCTAGATTCTGCCAAACTGAGAAAGATTTAACCCCTGCAGCACATCAGCTGATAAGATGGGGTGTTAAATCCTGCTCCTTTGGCATCACCTAATGGGCAGTTGGATATGGCTTGTGGAAAACGGCCTCAGAGGCCAAATTCGATCCCCTGGCCAGTGGATCCCCTGCCCAGGGGTTCTCCACACCTGAAACAGATAAATGAATGAAATGTCCACAGAGTTTAAGACAGCCTACCCAATATTCTGTTGATAGGGACAAAAAAATTGAATGTATTCTTAGCAATCAGATGCTATTGTACAGTGACATGGGTGTCTTGGATGCAATCTAAATGGAAGCTTCAGTTTTCAGAACAGGGGTAAGCCCAGGGCTCGTGGTTTTGAAAGAACAAAGCTATCAGAAGGACTGCAAGCACCGTACACTTCAAGAAGTGATTTAACACAACCACAGCAAATTGAAGTACTGTTTGAAGGATATTACTCATACCACTCATGAGCTAGTTAAATCTGCAGTAACTCTACTGGTAATGAATTGTCTGATAGAAATCAATCTATACAAATCTCTAAGCTCTCGGGCATCGGATTCTTGCCTGACAGCAAAGAAGCCATTTTCTTGATTACACTAACCATTGTTCTGAAAGAAACCTGCTCTCATATGAGCCGTTTTTGTAGAGTTCAGGAGAAATAAATGCAAATGCTAATTGAGTGGCAATAAAATAACTTGGAACCACAGATTGCTGTAAGAGAATTAGCATAGTCAAGGATAATCTCTTTCAAGCATCTCTCATGGAGATGGACATCTCTGCGTCTGGCAAAGGCTCACACTTGCGGGGAAGAAAAGTTAAGGGATAGAAATCTGCAAAGCAAAGATAAGAATAACCCTGGAAACACTTAAATTAGGAGTATTTAGGAGCTAATTTTGAAAAGGGGAAAAACCCTGACTTTATATTCCTCCTCATCTCTCTTATCACATAGATTGGAAATTTTAGTCTGTTATTTCCTTTAAAAATACTAGCAGAGCTATGCAAAAGCTTCCTGACACCAGCTTTTCTGAATACTGCATGATTTAAATAAACCACAGCTGTACTAATCCAAATCAAGAAATGTTAAGAAGCACATTTGCAACTAAGATATCAGAATTGCAAATAGTTTAAGCATTACAGAAAATGCACTAATAGTGTGGAATCAACAGCATTTCATAGAATCATAAAATTGAAGACTTGGACACCAAGGGTCATCTAGTACAACCCTCTGCAATTCAGGAATCTCAACTAAAGCATCCATGACAAATGGCCATTAAACCTCTGCTTAAAAACTTCCAAGGAAGGAGAACATACAACCTCCTAAGGGAGTCCATTCCACTGTTGAATAGCTCTTACCATCAGAAAATAATTCCTGATATTTAGTTGGAATCATCTTTCTTTCAACTTGAAACCATTGGTTCAGGTCCTACCCTCTGGAGCAGGAGAAAACAAGTTTCCTTCATCTTCCATGTGACAGCCCTTTAGATATTTGAGGATGGCTATCATATTTCCTCTCAGCCTTCTCTTTTCCAGGCTAAACATACCCAACTCCTTCAACCATTCCTCATAAGGCTTGGTTTCTAGACCCTTGATCATCTTGGTTGCTCTCCTCTGCACATGTACCAACTTTTCAATATCGTCTAATGGTCCCGCAGGTCATTTTTCACTAGAGCCTTGATTATAAGAATGAGACACGGCTACATGTAAGATCACTGGGACTGATTTCACATAAGTAAATGAAAATTACATTGGAATAAATAACTGATTTATTCCAGTTTCCTAATGGAATAACAAGGTTTCTTCAAATGCAATGTTTAATTGAGACAATCAATAGAGGGGGAAAGCCAGTTCAAAGCTATAAGAGAAAATGTTCATCTAAAATGGATGTAGACCTTTAAAACACCATTCAGCAAACTGCAGAGCATCAGTAGAAAATAACACCATACTGACATAATCGGGTTTTACAATGTTGCAGTAAAATATTTTCACATGTCATAAACTTGAGTAATTAATTTATTTGGTGGTAGGATCCTTTCCCCCTACCATTAAAAAAATCATTCAGTAAGCACCTGGGTACAGAATGAAACATCTATAAATAGAAATGTGGGCTAGCATTGCTGACCAAGCGTCCTTGACTTACAATAGTAGGGGAAACGCAAGGTCCTATTAAACCAAATGTAGCATTATGTAATTGAAATTGGATCAGGTATGAAAGGTTGTAATGTAATAAAAACTGGCCAACACCATATCGCTTCCATGAAATTTAAAGATGCAGCAACCATGGGACCTTTAAGGAATAAGGCATCGCAGTATGTCAGCAGTTATGATGGGGCAGAATGTGAACAGACCCTTGGAGGCAGGTGCTAAGCAATGAGGACAGCATAGTTTATACCAAAATATGTCTTAATAGCAGGTGAACAGCTGAGAAAGCAGGGAGTTCCATGGATTCTGTGCCAGTTACCAGATTCGGGAGAAGGTTCTACTGTAGATTCCTGCATTGAGCTGGATGAGGTAACCTCAAAGTTTTCTTCCAGCTAGCTCTAAAATTCTAAGATTCCAGATCCATTTCAGAGGGCAACCAGGCATGTCACTCTAATGAATGTCCATTGTAAATGCTTGGTACAGATTTTCATCTCTGACCAAGTGGAATTCCAAGAAAAATATGAAGGGCTTGGCAGCTCTCCTGAGTAACACACAACCAGCTAGTGCAGTTCTGGCTTCTGTTGCATATGAACCTCGTCATCTGTTCATCAGGGTGCATCCCGGGACCACACAATTGGGTTATATAGGCAAAACACACCCACAAATTTGATTACTGTGATTTAAACGAGAGTACATGAAATAAAGTTGGAATAAATCAAATCACAGAGCCTAGGGCTTGTTGATCAGAAGGTCGGCGATTTGAATCCCCGCGACAGGGTGAGCTCCTGTTGTTTGGTCCCAGCTCCTGCCCACCTAGCAGTTCGAAAGCACGTCAAAGTGCAAGTAGATAAATAGGTACCGCTCTGGCGGGAAGGTAAACAGTGTTTCCATGCACTGCTCTGGTTCATCAGAAGCAGCTTAGTCATGCTGGCCACATGACCCGGAAGCTGTCTGTGGACAAACGCCGGCTCCCTCGGCCAAGTTGGAATAAATCAAATCACTGACATCAATTTCCTGAAAATGCAGAATTTATCCCTGAACATTTTAAATCTCAAGTTTAATCTTAAAAAAGCACCAAATAAACTTGGAACCCAACATTCTATTACCCTCCAGGATCACACCAAGAATGCAGGAATGCAGGAAAGGAAGGGAAGGACAATGCAGCTCAGAGTGACTTAGTTCACAATGAATCCTATTTAGTTCTACGGAACTAAATCAATAAATTTAGCCCAGAAAGACTAAAACTTGAGCTTTTCTTCAGTCACTAGAGTAAGAGGTAGCCCCACCCAGATATTCCACCCCCAAGTGCATCTCTTTGTCCATAGATGTGAATGGCTGCTGTTGAAACATTGCTTTATTGAAGACAACATTACAGTGCTGTTCTGGCCACCACAGCAAATGAAAAGCTGATCCAGAACTGGGGTTCCTACCTCCCCCATCAACTCTGATGGCATATCTGCCAATCATCGAGCATTGAGTGAGACATTTCAGATTGACAAAAGCCACTCTGGCTTCTGATGTCAATCCTGGATGTCCCACTTCATCTGCTGCTGCTCCCACTGCCACTGTGAGGCCTCCACTGAGGCCCACTGTGGTCTCTGATGTACTTCAGGAAGCTGGGCTGCACTTCTGGAAATGCACTTCTGGAAGTGTGGGACCGCCTTCTGGAAGTATGGCAGAAGCCATGGTGGGCCTGGCAGAGGAGATCTTGGCTTCATGGCAGCAGCAGCAATAAGCCAGTGAAGGTTAGGCAGAGGACAAGGGGAGTCACAGCAGGCTGAGGAGGCCTGGGTAGACAGGGCATGGTGGGGGTGTCCCGGCTTTGGTATATGATGGGTATGGCAAATCTTTAATTGATTTAAACCAACACATCTTTATAAGTAATATAAGCAATCAGCATTATTTCATGCAGCGCAGAATTTATTTTTTAATTACATCTGACTTGCAAGGTTAGTGTAAGTGCAGAATTTACCCAGTAATTAAATATGTTTCCATGGTCCCAGTTTTAAACTAAATCAAAGGTGTGCAATTGATGGTGCCTTTAAATAGGGGTTGGGAAACACCCACAACTTTTCTTCCTGGAAGATAAGTCACTTGTATCTAATTAACTGTCTTTTAATACCACACAAAATGTCAAAGAGGTATTAGAGACAGCTGAAAAAATGAGGCTAAAAATGCACAGTGTCTAGCTATTCCCCGAGTACATTTGAGCATTGGAAGCAAATGGTGTTTGCCCATGCGGGTCATGACTTGGTGCCAGATACTGCCCTGATCACAGACAACAATAATAAAGCACCCCTGATGCTCCTCATGTGCATCAAAGCTATTGGTTCATGACCAGTGATGATAATACTGTTCTTGCCAGTATATGGTCTCTTGTCTCAATTATGACCGGCCTTCAGTCTTGCATGAAGACCCTGTTTATCCAGTACTCAAACCCTTGGGGAGTTAATCACAGCAAGCAAATTGCTATTCAAAACCACGATCTCATCTTCAGTATGTGGCCAGATCACTGCAGCATCCCCATCCTCCATTACTCAAATACTCACCATCACATGTGAGCTTGCCAAACCAACAGGTTGCATAGGAAAAGGGTTTTGAAGGCTAAAAGGTGGCAATAGGCTGGAGAAAGGCAATATGTTGCATAGAGAAAAGATCTGGAGGCTCACAATCTGGGGGCAATGCCCAGTGAGTTTTAGTAGCTAAAGGGGTGGCTGAATAAGGGCTAAGCTAGACCTGATGTTGCTCACATGTTTAATGCTGAATAAATAAATAAATAAAAAGCCAGTGTGGAATGGCAAGCTGGATTGGGATCATAGCTGGGGAGGAGATCTTTTATCCCTTAACCCTTCCATGGTCCTGATATGAATTGTGGCCCTCCACACCTGCTATTTACAGTAGAAGAAATGCTTCCATTGGCATATTGCCGATGCTGTTATGCAGAAGTACTTGCATAACTGTCTTTTTATTTATCATCGTAGGCCACTTTGGGAGCCTTTTGGGCTGGAGAGTGGAGTGAAATAAAAAGAAAGAAAGAAAGAAAGAAAGAAAGAAAGAAAGAAAGACCCGTTTGGTTCCACTGATTTTTTCCCCCAGCTGCCCAGCTGAAAAGCAGCACAAAAGGAAACAGAGATTGCTTAAATAAATGATGCTGTAATATGCTTTAGGTAAGCAGCCTTGAGCTTTGGAAAGGTGGAATTCAAGGGTTTTAAATAAATCCCTTTTCTAAATAAATCAGTCTGCATACATCAGTCAATAATTCCCCTCCATGGCTTCATATATATTTTTATTGAAAAAGTAAAGAAACGTTCAGTATTTACTGCTGCCAATAAACATTTACTTTTGAGCCATTTTTCAAAGAAGCCATTCATATTTTGTCTGAAAATATGTAAACTGCTACTACTGAACCATAACAATACAGTCTACTGCCTTGTATTCTAGAATAGCAATGATTTCCTTTTTCCTTGATCTTACCCAGCTATTGATATGCATTGGGTTGGAGCCAGGCCTGTACTCTTAAGCCTATATATGTTTTCTCTGTCCAGCTGTGTTCAATGGAGCTTACTCCCAGGAAACTGTGCACAGGATTAGCACCAAATTTAGCTGTTCTTAACAGTGCAGTCCTATACTTCTAACTCTTCTGAGTTGAACAAGATGAAGTGTGTATTGGTTTGCAGCTATAATCTCACTGAAATCAGCAGGAGAAGTTGGTCACAACTCACTTTTAAGCGCATTGCTTCCAATCGGAATTTAAAGGATTACTAACCCAACCTGGATTCAACTCACAGACTTTGAATGAATGAACTCTCCTGCCCACCTCTCATGATAACATAGGTGCTTCTGAGCATCTCCCATAAATGGGAATGGGAATCCTGCTGGAATGTACACAATGGCTCTGGAATGAATGAGTAGTGTTCCCTTAGTCAGAATGTCACGGTGCAAAGATCCCTTCAGAGCTGTAAGCTTTGATTTAAAATTGTAATGTTCAACCTTTTCTCACACTAACACATTCTGACTTGTAGGATCTCACATATATCACCTCCACACTGAAACTACCATAGGAAAAATAACAATTTACTCTTATAACACTGTTATTGCACACTGTAGGGAAATCCTCCACAAGGGACAGGAATGATATGCACACACTGGAAAAAAATATCTATCTCCATGCAATAACTGGTATGCCATTTGGGATTTTATGGAATATCAGGAAAATGCAATGCACATTCAATGGACATTCTGTTCCTGGTAGAATATAAGAAATTGTGGACAATATCCTACTTGTGATAGAATAAATTCTTCGAATTTAAGTCACTTACGTCCATGGATTTCAGTGGGTGTGCTATGAAACGTTGGATATCACCCTATGCTCCAGAAATTATTAATTATAATAATGGCTGTAACTCAGCTAAAGAAATCCTCAGCACAATCCTTATCAGGTCTACTCAGAAGTGACCCCCATTGAATAAAATGGGACTTACGCCCTTATAAATGGGATTAGCATTGCAGCCATGGGCTGCATTCACGCAGCAAATTATTGCACTTTCGTGTTAATTTCTGCATCATATTTGAGCCTTCACAGAACGTAAAAGCCACTTCCAGAAATACAGTGGAATACAGTGCAAGTATTGTGCTCATTTCTATTTAATACAAGTTTAAGGCTCATTATATGCAAGCAGGGTTTTTTTCTGGAAGCAAATAACAAAGAAATGCATGCTAAACTTCTGCTGTGTTCCAATACAGTTCCACAAGTAGCTTTTATGTCCTGTGAAAGCTCAAATTATAATGTGGAAATTATAACAGGCAGGGAAACATTGGGGGAAATAAAATAAGCTGCCGTGCGAATGCAGCCATAGTTTGTTAGTCATGATTAAGTTGATTAATTCATCAATCAAATCTGCATTACTTTGCCTATAGAAAAAAATCTAAAGAGGGGGAGACATATTTTCTTTCTCGTTTATATGATTGCAAGGGGCCAGAAGTGACACAGTGCAAGATGGCAGGTGGGCGTGGGAGAGAGTGATAGCAGGAGCAAAAATGCGCAGAGAGTAAGACACAGAGGAAAGAGTGGCTGGCAAGCACACAGCAGCAAATGAGATATAAGGAGCAAAGAGGAAGTGTAACCTCTGTCCCAGCAAAGACACGGGAGCCGAATACTAATTGAAAGTGGGAGAAAAGGAAAACTGTGGAGGGAGAGGAGCAGAGTGAGACAGCTGTGAGGGGAACAGCTGTGAAAGAGTTACAAAAGTGATAGCCTGAGGTTGCAAACTTAGTGGTGAGGCCAAACGTAGTAGTGAACCACTACAGGTCTATGCCACACAAGGAATCATAGAAATGTAGCGTTGTAGAGTTGAAAGGGACCATGGGCATCATCTAGTCCAATCCCCTGCGATGCAGGAATCTTTTGGCCCAATGTGGAATGCACAGGAGGTGGTTTGCTTGCTCATATTTGAGAAGCAAGGATGAAAAGCCTCGTTTTATTGAAGTGAACAATCCAGTTCAAGAAAACTGTGTAGCTATTGGTTTATGCCGTGCATCAGGTGCAAATTCTCCCATCAATCCTTGCCCATTTCATCAGTGGTAAGTTAAACCCTGACTTTTTAATAATGAAAAGTTTCTGCTCACATATATATCTTTTTAAAGTGTGGTTTGATGCTTTGGGCAACTCTTAATTGTTTAGGCAGAGATGTGGGTGGCGCTGTGGTCTAAGCCACAGAACCTAGGGCTTGCCGATCAGAAGGTTGGCGGTTCAAATCCCCACAACTGAGTGATCTCCCATTGCTTGGTCCCTGCTCCTGCCAACCTAGCAGTTCGAAAGCACATCAAATAAATAGGTACCGCTCTGGCGGAAAGGTAAATGGTGTTTCCATGTGTTGCTCTGGTTCGCCAGAAGTGGCTTACTCATGCTGGCCATATGACCTGGAAGCTGTCTGAGGACAAATGCTGGCCTATAGAGCGAGATGAGTGCTGCAACCCCAGAGTCATCCACAACTGGACTTAACAGTCAGGGGTCCCTTTACCTTTACCTAATTGTTTAGGCAGTCATAAAAGACCAACTCAATATAGTCAGTACTGCATACAGTAAATACCTCAATCACTTTGCATCAGGGGTGCCAACTTGAATAAAATATTATGGGGGCCCAGGTAAGCCCTGCCCTGCATAATCGATCATATGACGCAGTGCACACACACCACTTGACTGGGAATGGCCATCAACTTTGTGGCAGCCTGGCTCCCTCAAATATTTTATTGTGGGGGCCGAAGCCCCCATGGCCCCTAGGAGTTTGCTCCTATGCTTTGCATGTTAACTACCAAACATAGTTAGGTAGCTGAGCTAACCAGGAATGGTATGTGCACATTTCATGAACCAGTTCTCCCCACTGCAAAACTTTGCTCTTCTGGGTGATTTTTTCCCCATCGCTTTGTGAACAGATGCAAAATGTTCATAAAGGGCAGGTATCAGGGCAAAGAGAACACGGAGAGCACAAGGCCTGCGGCTTATTATTTACTGACCCCTACAGACATTGATTCTCATTATTGTTCTTACATTTTTCATGCCGATTCCTTAATCCCACTTTAAAGCACATTGCAAATACATAATCTCTCGACACATGCCTGAGCGTGTGTATTCCACGCATACAATGTACAGTAAGCAAACATTTTTGCCTACAGGTTTGTACTGTCACGTCCTAGGTCTCACTTGCTGATAGAGAAAAGACTGAGTAACTAAATTAGAGCTACCTTCCTATCACTAGGAGCACTCTGCCATCTGCTGGACGCCTCATTTGCTTGCAGTCTTGTGAATGTGTTCTTCCGATGGAAGCAAGTCCAAAGTCCATCGGAGCTCAATGGGAATTGTTGTCAGGACAGTATATATAGAACTGATGTGTCTAAAGTACACAGGTGCCTTGTAAGAAGGTAGCACTGTCTTAATATGAAGCCTTTGCCAAGTACATTATTTCTATCCCTAAATATGATAATAACATTACGACTTTCATCTTAGATTATTTTAGGCAGTACGTTTCCGAGCAAAATTCAAAGTGTTGGTGCTGACCTTTAAAATCCTAAACTGCCTCAACCCAGTATACCTGAAGATGCGTCTCCACCCCCATTGTTCAGCCCTGAGGTCCAGCACTGAGGCCCTTCTGACTGTTCCCTCACCGTTAAAAGTGAGATTACAGGGAACCAGGCAGAAGGCCTGCTTGGTAGTGACGCCCGCCCTGTGAAACGCCCTCCCATCAGTTGTCAAGGAAATAAACAACTTTCTGACTTTTAGAAGACATCTGAAGGCAGCCCTGTTTAGGGAGGTTTTTAGTGTCTGGTGTTTTATTGTATTTCTAATATTTCGTTGGAAGCCGCCCAGAGTGGCTGGGGAAACCCAGCCAGATGGGCAGGGCGTAAATAATAAATTACTATTATATTATTATTATCTTTGGGGGGCAAGTTTTAGTAATGGCACTTGTAAGCATGGATGTAGGCACAGGACAGGGAGATAATTGGGAAGACATAAACATTAAATACGAACTCAAGCCAGCTTGTAGGTGTCACATACAGTGAAATGCCTAAGTATCACTGCATGTCGGTTACCAAACATTGTCACGTACTAACTCTAAGCAGCCTCTCTAAGGCTTTCCAGCTGCCCAAGTCCCATAATATCTTCATGGTGCCAAATCTACTTTCCTCAGAGTCTATCTTTTCATGAGATCTTTGACTTCTCCTTTTTAAACTTTGTTCTTAATCATAACCAAAATTCGGAAGGATTTTACGTATTTTTAGCTACTTTTATATATTCACACACACACAATTTCCTGTAGGCTCTTTTATAAAAGTTAGCTGAGGCAACCACCTGCTAATAAAGCTCTGTCCTCAAACATGAGGAAAAGATTTCAAAGGATGAGAAAATGACCAGGAAAAGGCCCAAGATCCTATTACAAGTCTTGTAGTCCAACCCTAAATGTGCTTATTGAAAAGTAAGTCCCACTTAGTTCAGCGGGACCTGCTTCCTAGTAAGCATGCTTAGAATTGCAGTCTTAACTGAAGTCTGGCTTTGAAGAAATATCATTAGCACAACCTATTCATTTGAAGCTATCTTAGAATCCTTTTCACCGGAGACTCAAGGGTGGTTTCCTTGTACATGTTTATGAGGACTATGCCATCAAGTAATGACTTGCATGCATACATGTCACCAGGTGTCATCGCAGATGCCTTGCTTTTCAGTAGCATCAGTTCATACGATTAGAAGGGTGCATAAGTCTAGAGTCATCAAGAGGCATACATTTGTGAACTAGACTTAAGAGAATGCCTTTTTAGGAGGGAATCAGTTTTAGAAAAGCTTTGACTGTAATTTTAGACTGGTTCCTATTTACATATTTGTTTGTTTGTTACTGATAGTACTAACCAAGAAATAATCTGAAACCATTTTAAGTAAGCGCACTTAATTATCTACTATAGGCATGAGGAACATTTGACACTCCAGATATTGCTGAACTGCAACTCCCATCATCCCTTGCCATTGGCCACACTTCCAGGGGCTGATGGGAATTGTAATTCAGTAACATTTGGAGAGCTCCCTGCACCTGATCTGCTGCAGCACATGGTTGGAATTCTATCCTCTGATCTGCTTTTATTCCAGTCAAAAAGTAACACTAGTCCTAAAGTGTCTGTTAGTCGTTGTTACCTGCAGGCCCCTCCTAGTCCTAGGGTGCTATTGTAAAAGCTCTGGTTAAGATATTGAGACAAATATCTGAGCCAATGATTTCACCTGTTTCTGGGAAGCATACACGAGCATTTTTTTGCTGATAGCATCTCTTTAACTATGTAATTCTACCTGAATTCTAGTTGAATTCAACGGGACTTGCTCCAAATCCCAAGTTAGCCAACTGGCTTTTAGAAAGACTGAAGGAAATCACTAACTCATGGACAAATACTTGATTACTCATTCCAACAAAATTTATAATGTGTGTGTTTGTAGCAGGGATAGCTAGTATCTGAGGGTTAACACGACAGGAAATAAAAGTTCCATAAATGGTGAACGGGTCTTCAGTTAGGTATCACCACTAGACATACTAAATATGATATTAACATCAGGTTATTAATATTAAAATGTAATAAATTTCAACCCAAGTTTTCCTACTCTAAATATGACATGGCACTGGCAATTATTATATTATATTATATTATATTATATTATATTATATTATATTATATTATATTATATTATATTATATTATATTATATGATTTAGAATATTCAGATTAGTTATCAGTTAATTGCCACTGAAATGTTCCAGGAGCAGGTGAGGAAACCACTTGTAGGCCAAGGAGCAAATCAGGAACCTGCTGCTCCAGAACCGACCCAGGCTAGAGTAATCATTTTGTAGATTGCAGGCCAAGCAGCATTAGGTTGGTGAACATATAAATACAAAAACAGTATTCTGAAAACGCAGAATCTAAACCAAGAATGCCAAGATGAAATATAACAGGGGAAGCTTTCCCATTAATAAATGATCTCACAATCTAATTAACAGTGCTGAGGGATTTTTTGAAATTCAGTTTCTTGAAAAATATAGTGTACTGCATTGCAAGTCAGTGTACCTCCTCCCTTTGGTGTGTGAGGGTGGTTCCTCCATTGAAGTAAAGAAGGAATGTCTTGAAGGCTCTGTATTTGCATCATGACTGCTGCACCACATCTCAGATTCCGACGCTGACTTCCAATCCCTTCCCAATGCCATCACAAATGCCTAACCTTTAAAGGGCTCCATAACCTTTTCCCAAACTGTCTCCCCATCCATCTTTCCCAATATGTCTCTACCTATGACCTCAAACATTACCACTGTCGGCCACTTATTCTCTTGCTGTCTCATATCCCAGAATACCTAAATGGCTGCCAAACCTTTTTACTTCCTTCCTCGAAACCATCATTCATTTGAGGTTCTTTCCTAAACTGAACATCCAGTGGCAACTGCAATGAAGCCTAAGTATTTGTAACTCCATTGACCACACTGATTTAATTATTAATCTAATATTTCCCCACCTCCCTTTCCTCTTTGCCCTCTGTTTTCCTCGTTGTCAAACTTCAGACTGGGAGCCCATTGGGGAAGGGACCTGGCTTTTTGGGGAGCTCATTGGGGAAGGGACCTGGCTAAAGCATCATGTACATTGATGGTGCTGCAATAAATAAATAAATAACAGATTACTGAATTAGACCAATGGGTCATTTTATAAAACATGCTTGACTATATTTACAAGTGCCTTTTCTCTAAACTGTCCACCAAATTCAGATTTTAAAACAAAGGTGGGGCTTCCAGGTGTTGTTGCTGGCAGCTGGGATAGCTCAGTTGGTAGAGCATGAGACTCTTAATCTCAAGGTCATGAGTTTGAGCCCCACGTTGGGCAAAAGATTCCTGCATTGCAGGAGGTTGGACTAGATAACCCTCATGGTACTTCCAACGCTACAGTTCCATGATTCTACTCATGATCTTTGTTGATGTTGGGTGGACCTGATGGGAGCTGGAATCCAACAACTTCTGGAGAATCACTGGTTCCCCACCCCTTTTAAAAACACCCACCATCACATGAAGTGACAGCTGTGCTCCCCCCATAACATATCCTTTCTCTGTTTTCTTAAAGATTTCTTTAAAAAAAAGAAAAGTGGTTTGTACTAGCTTTCTATTTCCTAATATTGAACACCAATGTCCCCTTATTATCTGAGTGACATGGATTATTCAGATCTCAATAGCAGTGCTCTATTTCTAGGAAAAAGACAGCAGTGGTAATTCCTTCCTAGAAATCCCTTCGTCTGCCTGGAAAGGCCTCATCCTTAACAAGAGAAGTATGGGAGTGAGGAAAATGCACTCTACATGCATTCCAAAGTCGTCTCTCCTTTGAATCATGTCCACATACTCAAGCGTTATGCTTCAGAACACAGGTTCTGAAACCAGCCTTGGATGCTACAGTTAACAGCAGTTAGCAGAATCAATAGGATTCTCCCCAGATCAATTAGACATTTTAAACAGCCTTGCATGTAACCATTGTTGATCAGGCAAAATGAAGCAAAATGTCAGTTGCCAAACCTGTTCCCTGTTCCATCTGAGCAGCTGTCCTCTTGAAGTCTCTTTCTACATGATCAACCAAGAGCCCTTAAAAACTACCCATTTGACTCTTCCATAAGCTTTCCAAGGCAGCAGCCTGCTTCATCGGGTGAAAGTTAATGAATAGGGTGAAAAGGGATGTTGCTTGCAAAAGCTTATGCCACAACAGAATAGTTCTACGATGCCACAGGAGCAATGGTTGCCCCTGCTATAACACAGCTCTCCTTTAGGAATGTTCATTTTCATTGCAGGAAGCTGCATTTGGCAATCAACTCCCTAATCTTTTGAATGTGTGGGGTGTGCTTTGGGGTCATGTGGGCACATCCCTGTTCTTGTTCTCCCCCTTCTTCAAGTTCTTGGCTTTAAAACCCTTGACATCGCCCTCTTAGAAAATGCCTGTATCAACTGGGGACAGAATGGAACACATTCCTTTAAAGACAGTATGACAAATTGCAATTCTAATCATCTTAGCTGGCAGCGATTTTTCTGCTCAGGCTATCACTTCATTCACTCTCCTCCTCCCCTGCTCAGCTTTCAATTTTTAAGATATTGTACCTTTATTCTTACAGTCGTGTGTTGTGAGGTATCTGTTTGTTCTTAATTCAATACGAGCGCAAACTGACAGAATTACATTTCTCTTGCAGTTACATTGCATTGCACGGGAGCAACGATTCAGACCTTAATGTTAACTAAGCCCCATTCAGTTACTGTTTTTACCTCCAGCATAGCAAAGGGGTAGCATCATAGGAGACTCTACTGAACTGAACAAAAATCTAATCAAGGAACCCTCCCATTACCTGGATGATTTAAACAAAAAATGAAATAATTTCATAGCTGTCATTTTGGTAGTGCCAGGGACAACTGTTCTTTGTTCCATCAAATATATCCCCTAAGGAGATGTACATTCCAGCTGAGGAACTTCATGAAAAACAGAGCATTTTCAGATTCGATTTTATCATGGTATTATTTTTGCTACTTGACCCTTGCAATAGCTACATTGTGCCTGTTACTGAAGCCTTCTAGAAAACCCTCTGAGCCTTACAAAAGAGAAATATCAAGATGATGCCAAGTGAGAGACGAAGGGCAGGTCACATGTGCATACTGTATATACTAAAAATTCATCTGAATCTATGTCATAGGAGGCTGCTGTTCCAGAAAAGCAATGTTCCCTGTAGCAGGCTTATCACACAGGCAAGAGCCATTTCTACCCCAAATGCAGGACTCATTCTGTGCTTACTCTTCAGTTGCTTTCCTCCCCCCAAATCAAGGAAATGTTCCTGAGAGTGCTGTGATTTATTGAGAAAGGGACGGGGCAGAGTAATTCTAATATGGAGAATTGCAAAAAGGAAAATGGCTGATCGGTGCCTCTTGCAGCTATTGCTGTTCAGAATCAACAATCCACTTGCAGCTTTTTTGCTGCTTCCCCAATCTTCCTCTTGCTATGCACCCTTTCCTACACCAAAAGAGGCCTTGGGGGTTGAAACATCCCTCAAGAATCTCTCTCTCTTTTTTTAAGCATAAGGCATATGCCAGAATGTGGACTTGTGAATTACTGAGGCAGCCTTCACAAGGCAGTGAACAGGCTTGGGATATATGGTCCCGTGCCATGTGCAACCACACACAAGGATGCTATCTTGCCACCCCTCCCAATTTGCCCACTCCTTCTCCTCCTGCATATGTGTAGCAACTCTGCCCAGTAAGACAACAGGCTGCTTCTGGACACTGCTTTTAGAAGAGTAGGCAGAGGAACCTGGTGCCAAATGTCTTTTCCCATATTATGGAAAGATGGTGTGCTGAATATTCATCTTCTCAGTATACTCTGCTGTGGGAAGGTGAAAATATACACTATGTCCAGCAGTGGACAGGATTAAGCAGCCGGTGCCCCTGAACCTGCAGGAAAAGGCAGGAAGAAAGCCCCAAATGCTGCTGTCCTGCAAGCTCTTGTCCCCACATTCTCTCCCTGCATCTCTAAAGCATTTCTTCGGGGAAGAAAGACCTGCCTTCACAAAGCAAATACCCATGCAGAAAGGGTTGACATGACATTCAGTCACAATGCATGCAGAGGTAAATAAGAGCACACCCCACATAGGCAGGGCCCATGGGGGCTTCCATTATGGAGCAGGGTGGGGTCCTCCCTACACCACAATCAGTCATGACTGCAGCCAACCTTATGTAATACATTGAAAGCACAAGAGAGAGATCCTTGGAAGTCTCTAGCCAAAATGCAAAGCAGATGGTACGCTCTGGTCCGAAGGGGGTCAAGTGGCAGGACAGGAGTAGAGCAGGACCACCCTCAGCAGGCAATGGTGCAACCATCTTCCAGAGGGAAATTTAGCTGGATGGATGGGTGCATTCACCATAGTTTAATCCCCTCACGCCCTGCCCCACAAGCCTTCCCAGGCTCTCTGGAGCAGCTGAATGCCAAAGTCATGATTCCCACCCCACTCATACACACACACTTGCTTAATGCACAAGAGCACCTGCTGCCCTAACTCCACCAACACAGGAGCAAAGGGTTTCTGGGGAGGGGAGGGGAGGGGAGGGGAGGATTTGAATGAACTGAACATTCATGACTCACAAGCGTTGGTGACAGCGAAGCTGTTGGCCACCTCCAGATTGTCGATGTGGGGCGACAGTCGGAACTCTGAAGTGGAAAATTGAACCATCCCTACCCGAAATGCACTGTATTCCTGATCAGCTCCCCTGGGGAAGAGCCCCCCTGTAGGATGACAAACACACATAAAGACAGAACAAGAGAGACACACAGAGAGGACATCAGTGCTGCAGGCTCGGCAGTAGCGCTGCCAGACTCACAAAGAGAAAGAGACCTTCATTTATTTGCCATGGGACTTGCCTCAGATTGCCAGTTTCACTGACCTTAGGGATGATCTATATCCTAAAATCTCAGCCATCTCCCTCCCCTTCAGGGTCCAGATACCCAAACTGAGCTTGGAAGGGGGGCAATATCTGGAAAGCACATGGTGTGCTGCCTTCCTCACATGAAGGGTGCAGTCCAGATCCATTTAGAGCAATGAAAGGTGGGAGGTTTTGGCTTCCCCATCCTGATTTCAGTGGGATGTGGATTGCACCTTCCCAAATGTCATCAGTGAAGTGTTTAGTTTCAAGCCATGAACTGGCTTGTGGAAAGGAGTTGCTTCTAGTGGGATGGGATTCGAGAAGATGGGTAACCTTTGGATTTAAGAATGGGGGAGGGGGGGAGGGGACAGGAGTTGATCTAAAATGAAGGCACTTTTCCTTTTTTTGGCAAGCATCCACTCCAGCAAGAAAAGGCTGGATTTAAGGGTGCATGCCATGAATACGGCAATTGGACGTGAGTGGTGACCGTGTGCCAGAATCTCAGCTAACAATATATATATATGTGGGATCCTCTCTGACGGGGCCACTCACCTATTTGTATGCCGTTGGAGTAGACCCCCCAGATGAGTCCCCAAACCAAAGGAGCCAGGAAGAGAGCAATCTGCCGGATCTTTTGCATTGCCATGAAAAGTAGAGCATCCACAAAGCCACAGAATATTCCTTTGCTGCAGCCGCCGCTGCCTTCTCCTCCCTTGCCCGTTTGTCGCTCAGCAAATTAGATCCTCTGCATCTTGGGCGAGCAGATGAAGGACCCGAGCTGGAAATGAGCCCTCAGCGGGAGAAGAAGAAGAGGAGGAGGAGGAGGAAGAAGGGGGTGGATAGAGAAGCAGCCTTGGCCCGCTGCTGCAGTGCTCCCGAGGCCAGCCCGGGGAAGGGAAGAGGCGCCTGGGATGCCGTTTTCAACGCTGCTCTTGTGCTGCCGTCGCCTCGGTACAGCTCCTTCGCCGGCGAGCACACGCATTCGCCCAGCTCTGCCTCTCTCGCCCTCACGCACTCACACACTCACACGCGCGCACACACCGCACACTCGCGCACAGCCAGGCAAGGCGAGCGAAGGGAAGAGGCGGCGTGCGCGTGCGCCGCCGGAGAGAGAGCCTCCTTATGCCCCCCCCTCTCCGTACGCCCCCTCCCCGCGTAGGCCTGGACGCGCGCGCGAGCTCGGCGCGCCTTGGCCAAGGCACCGCTGCTGCTGCTGCTGCTGCTGGGGGCGGCTGGGCTCGCCCAGAGGCTGGTCCTTTTCAGCACCACGGACAGCGCCGCGGAAGACAGCCGGGGACAGCCAGGCTTCGGTCCAAAGCAGCCCCTTCCGCGCCCCCTACGGCTGCAGCGAAGAGCGCTCTCTCTCTCTCTCTCTCGTTCTCTCTCGTTTCACCGGACAATCGCGGTTTCTGCCACCCCCGCCCTCCCCACCTATTGCGAGCGATCAGGCTTCCGATCCAGAGAAGCAGAATGCTGTGGGTTGTGCCAAAGCGTAACTTAGAAACGGCCTGCTTTCCAGAGCTGCTTGCTTTCCCCTCCCCCGCTTCCCCAAATCGGACGGTTCAAGGAGCATCTTGGTCGGAGGAGGAGCAGCTCGCTCGCTTTCTGCATGCTAATCGCTTAAAAAAAAAATCAGACGCGTTGGCGGGCAGGAGAATGCCGTCTTAAAAAGAAGCAAGGAGATCAGCGCCCACCAGCTAGAGCTGGTCTGCCTGAATTTTTCACTCTTCCACCGAGGCCAAGTTCTTGCTCTGAAAGGTGGGGAAACCGGGTCAAAAAGTAGGAACGGGGTTCAGCTACATTCTCTTCCCCAGAAACAGCTGTCTGGAGTTCATGAGCTTCAAAGGAAAGCCAGTGCGAATATTGATCTCTTCAGCACACATTCTTACACATTTGATTACATGTGCCCATTGCATACACGCCCACGTTTAGCTGTGACATTTTGTACATTCAGGAAAGGTGCCACAATGATCATATGAATACAGACCCACAGGTGCACGCCACTATTTGTTCATCTTGCTTTGGAGCACCAGACTAGTAGTAGATTAATATACATTAGGTTTAACCTGCAGGCAATTGGAAAGAGGCCCCCATCTGTCTATAATGGAATTTTATTGTGTTTTTGTCTGTTTTATTATTTGGTTACTGTAGTTTAATATCATATAGTGTACTGGGGAATTGCAATAGTGATATATCACCTTCAAGTATAAATGAATAAATATTGTGAGCTTGTAGCTTCAGACTGAGGTGAGAGACATCCATAGCCAAATACATATCTTAAAATTAGTAGCAGAACATAATTACTGAGCTTCTGCGTACTTGTGAAAAACTTTACTGAAGAGAAGGAAGGCGCAAAATTGGAAACTGGGTTCCAGAGTATATTACAACCCACTATCAATCTCCTAAAGTGTTGCCATGTTATTCAGGGCTGCAGTGAAATTGCATACACTGGATGTTTCATTCCATTCATGTTAAAGCACAAATTCTCTCTTGCCTTGCTAAAGCTTACCAGAGCCTTTCCCTTTTTCTGTGGTGTGTTTCTCAGATGAAAAAATATTGACCAGGTTTGGGGTTGTCTACTGAATCAGGCACCTGGCAAAGGCCAGTGAAGAGATCCTCCCTCCTACTGGTGAGAGATACCCACTAGGGAAAAATAAAGCAGCAAGTGCCACTGAGTTTTCTTCCCAGAAAACCAAGTAGGGAACTGTGGCGAGAGAAGTGTAAGGGGAACCACAGTTATAATATTGTCCACTGGCTTGCCCCTAAGTCTATGTCCTTCCCAATGGACATAAAGCAAAAACAACAAAACCCACTTCTACTTTAGTGTGATGGAGGAACGGTACAGTTCTTATCTTGCTGGAGCACACAACCCACCACCTGTGTTACAGATGGGCAAATTGCGGCCTAAGCTGGTGAAGCCCTTGCCCTAATTTCATGTGCCAAGGAGGGGGAAATGGGCAGGGGAGAGAGAGATGGCAGCAGCAGAGGAGGGGGGAAAGGAAATGTCAGAAAGAGAAAGCAATAAGTGGTGATATAAAGAGGGTGGCCTCACCCATCTTTGGCTTCAGCCCCACCCACATTTGGGCCTACCCAGGGCTTTTTTTCAGCTGGAACTCACTAGAACTCAGTTTTTTTCTTAATTAAAGGTTTTCTTGTTTTACAAAAGTGTTTGCAATGTCTCTCTTGTATTTTTCCCCCCATGTAACATTTTTACAAATCAGTTTCATTTGTTGAGATATTGGGAAGAAAAGGGGGAAAGAGGTGGAGGGGGGGAAAGATGGGTGGGGGTGGGGGTGGGCGACGGTGTTACTATTTTACTTACTATATGTAGGGTTTGGTGACAGCGTTGTTTGTGTAGGTTCTTTGTTGTTCACTTGTGTTCCTTTGGCGGTGAGAGAGGTTGGGGTTGGTCTAGGGTGTAGTTGTTCATTGTGGTTGGCTGTGGTGATCTTGGTTTTCATGTGTGAGTTGGGTGGGTGGCTGTTTTGGATCAGGTTAGCCATATTGATTTGTATGTTGTTGGTGGGTTTTTGTCGTTGTCTTGTATGTGATAAAGGGGAGCCATACCGGGGTGAAGGTGTCTTCTTCTATTTGTCCCTGTGTCGCTTTCAGTTTATTGGTTAATTTTTCTAGTAAGGCTGGTTCCCATACTATTTGGTACCATTGGTCCATGCTTATTCCTGACAGGTCTCTCCAGTGTCTGGCTATGATGCTTCTGGCTGCTGAAAGTAGGTGGGTTATGAGTTCTTTGTGGTGTAAGGTTCTTTGTCTTGGAAGATATTTAGTAAGGTCAATTCTGGGGTGATTTCTAATACTTGCTTGGTTATTTTGTTTATTTCTTGTATGGCTGTTGTCCAGAATAGTTGGATTTTGGCACCGGAACTCAGTTCTGGCACCTCTCAGGTGAGCACCATTGCCCTTATCAGAGAAAAAGAGAGGTGTTTAAAGCAACAGCTTATTCTGAGTTCCAGCACCTCTTTTTCTAGAAAAATAAAACCGGCCCTACCAACATTGCCAGTATGTGGCACCTGACAGATTATCCCTGAGAAAATGTAGTCTTTGGGAGAATGTAGACTTTGAGAGAAATAAGATTTGCCCATTCCTAAACTAAAATATGCCCATAGATTTGCAGAGCAAACATTGGTGGAGCTGAGTTTACTTCCAGGGTAAACATGCAAGGAAAAAGGTTGATCCTCTGTTATTGGCAGAACCACTGAGCCCCCACCCCCACCCCATGACAACAATAAAATGCAATTGAAGAGATTTATTTTAACAAACAAAGGTATTTTCACCACCATTGCTGGGCCATCTCTCTTTGAAAGAGGAAGGAGATTTAAAGTGTACCATCATCCCACTAACCAATCATGCTATTCTTCTCATAGCTGTCCTCTCAGGGACAAGGGAAGCTTAGAGATCCCAGAGAAAATCACATAACAAGATGTCTTGCTTACTTATATTCTCATATTCTGTCTTTGGAATCAGGGCTGGGTTGAGAGACAAGAGTCTGTGGTGGTGGAATCAGGGCAACAATGCAGAGGAAGGGAAGATTCATCACCACCCCTCAACTGCTCATCCTTTTGTTCTGCAAACCCATCCTCAACCCCCCACTTTATACAGAAATGGAGAAGGCACATGAACAACAACCATTGCTGCTCCTGCCATCTCTAGTGGGGCCCTGAATTAAGAGAATAGATGGAATAGATGTACCACTTCATGACAGCCCTTGACTAATTAGTGCAGACAAGCTTTGCAAGAGCAGATATATTATGGAAATTTGATAAATTTTCAGGAGAGCATGCCAGCTGACAGCAACAACTTGCCTTTTATAAAACCCTGATGTGCCATATTTCAGCCAGCATGATTCCTAAGCCTTCTGTTATGGGGGGGGGGGGGGAGAACAATACCTTCCAAAGATAAAACTTATAATTTCCACTTTCTGTTAAGCTTAGGCTGCATAAATACCATTCATATAAAACCCATTATTCCCCACCCCACAAAGAATCTTGGGAACTCTAGTTTGTTAAAGTTGCTGGGAATTGTGAAGAGTAGACTACAGTTCCCAGGCTTCTTTCGGTGTGTGTGTGTGCTTTAAATGGATGAGCCTGGATTCAACGTTCTCTGACTGCCAGTGCAAAGGCTGTTGTGAAGTGTAAGGGCAAAAATAAAGGTTATGCAATATGAAAAGCAGCACAGCAGTTCTGCTGGTGGAAGCTTGTTGCACAACCGTTTGTGCAACAAGAAGTATCAGGACTACAGCAATCTGAAGGGCAACCAGCCATGAGAACAATGCTGGCTTCCTGTGCTTTCTCATAAACAAGGCATTCCGCCAGGACAACGAATACACTACTACATGACTGTAAATGAGTGTGACATTAAATTCTTCTATGTTGTTTTAAAAGTGCTTTAAATGTATGGTGTGTGCACAGATATATCAGGTCCTTTGAGAGACTTCAAGCACATGCTTAGCTTCTTACACTTCTCATTTCCCCTGCAGATGTTATTAAGAAATGTGGTCCAGGATCAACCCATCACTTGTGTTACACCATTTTATTCCTGGGTTGTCTTCTCAGTAAGCATTTTTGAATTGCAGCTTTACTATTCAGGATTTTTTCAATCTTCTCTAATATAGCATGATTTGCTTTCTTA